ATCAGTGTTTTGTCCATAGAAAAGCCAAAAATGGCAGGAATATGGAATGCAATACGTCGCCGAGCTTGTTTTTCGATCCCTGACATAATTGCATTTAAATCTGGAAAAGTTCAATTTTTTAATATTTTTTCAAAAATTATGATGTTGTTCCCCTCGAATATGCGAGATCCCAGCTTTACCCTAACAGTATCAGTGTTTTGTCCATAGAAAAGCCAAAAATGGCAGGAATATGGAATGCAATACGTCGCCGAGCTTGTTTTTCGATCCCTGACATAATTGCATTTAAATCTGGAAAAGTTCAATTTTTTAATATTTTTTCAAAAATTATAATGTTACTCCTTATCGAATATGCGAGATCCCAGCTTTACCCTAACAGTATCAGTGTTTTGTCCATAGAAAAGCCAAAAATGGCAGGAATATGGAATGCAATACGTCGCCGAGCTTGTTTTTCGATCCCTGACATAATAACATTTAAATCTGGAAAAGTTCAATTTTTTTAATATTTTTTCAAAAATTATGATGTTGTTCCCCTTATCGAATATGCGAGATCCCAGCTTTACCCTAACCGTATCAGTGTTTTGTCCATAGAAAAGCCAAAAATGGCAGGAATATGGAATGCAATACGTCGCCGAGCTTGTTTTTCGATCCCTGACATAATTGCATTTAAATCTGGAAAAGTTCAATTTTTTAATATTTTTTCAAAAATTATAATGTTACTCCTTATCGAATATGCGAGATCCCAGCTTTACCCTAACCGTATCAGTGTTTTGTCCAAAGAAAAGCAAAAAATGGCAGGAATATGGAATGCAATACGTCGCCGAGCTTGTTTTTCGATCCTTAACATAATTGCATTTAAATCTGGAAAAGTTCAATTTTTTAATATTTTTTCAAAAATTATGATGTTGTTCCCCTTATCGAATATGCGAGATCCCAGCTTTACCCTAACAGTATCAGTGTTTTGTCCATAGAAAAGCCAAGAATGGCAGGAATATGGAAAGCAATACGTCGCTGAGTTTGTTTTTCGATCCCTAACATAATTGCAATAAAATCTGGAAAAGTACAATTTTTGAATTTTTTTTAAAAAAATATGATGTTACCCCTTATCGAATATGCGAAATCCCAGCTTTACCCTAACAGTATCAGTGTTTTGTCCATAGAAAAGCCAAAAGTGGTCAGAATATGCAGTGCAATACGTCGCTGAGCTTGTTTTTCGATCCGTAACATAATTGCATTTAAATCTGGAAAAGTTCAATTTTTTAATATTTTTTTCAAAAAATTATGATGTTACTCCTTATCGAATATGCGAGATCCCAGCTTTACCCTAACAGTATCAGTGTTTTGTCCATAGAAAAGCCAAGAATGGCAGGAATATGGAAAGCAATACGTCGCTGAGTTTGTTTTTCGATCCCTAACATAATTGCAATAAAATCTGGAAAAGTACAATTTTTGAATTTTTTTTAAAAAAAATATGATGTTACCCCTTATCGAATATGCGAAATCCCAGCTTTACCCTAACAGTATCAGTGTTTTGTCCATAGAAAAGCCAAAAGTGGTCAGAATATGCAGTGCAATACGTCGCCGAGCTTGTTTTTCGATCCTTAACATAATTGCATTTAAATCTGGAAAAGTTCAATTTTTTAATATTTTTTCAAAAATTATGATGTTGTTCCCCTTATCGAATATGCGAGATCCCAGCTTTACCCTAACAGTATCAGTGTTTTGTCCATAGAAAAGCCAAAAATGGCAGAAATATGGAATGCAATACGTCGCCGAGCTTGTTTTTCGATCCTTAACATAATTGCATTTAAATCTGGAAAAGTTCAATTTTTTAATATTTTTTCAAAAATTATGATGTTGTTCCCCTCGAATATGCGAGATCCCAGCTTTACCCTAACAGTATCAGTGTTTTGTCCATAGAAAAGCCAAAAATGGCAGGAATATGGAATGCAATACGTCGCCGAGCTTGTTTTTCGATCCTTAACATAATTGCATTTAAATCTGAAAAAGTTCAATTTTTTAATATTTTTTCAAAAATTATAATGTTACTCCTTATCGAATATGCGAGATCCCAGTTTACCCTAACCGTATCAGTGTTTTGTCCAAAGAAAAGCAAAAAATGGCAGGAATATGGAATGCAATACGTCGCCGAGCTTGTTTTTCGATCCTTAACATAATTGCATTTAAATCTGGAAAAGTTCAATTTTTTAATATTTTTTCAAAAATTATGATGTTGTTCCCCTTATCGAATATGCGAGATCCCAGCTTTACCCTAACAGTATCAGTGTTTTGTCCATAGAAAAGCCAAAAATGGCAGAAATATGGAATGCAATACGTCGCCGAGCTTGTTTTTCGATCCTTAACATAATTGCATTTAAATCTGGAAAAGTTCAATTTTTTAATATTTTTTCAAAAATTATGATGTTGTTCCCCTTATCGAATATGCGAGATCCCAGCTTTACCCTAACCGTATCAGTGTTTTGTCCAAAGAAAAGCCAAAAATGGCAGGAATATGGAATGCAATACGTCGCCGAGCTTGTTTTTCGATCCTTAACATAATTGCATTTAAATCTGGAAAAGTTCAATTTTTTAATATTTTTTCAAAAATTATGATGTTGTTCCCCTCGAATATGCGAGATCCCAGCTTTACCCTAACAGTATCAGTGTTTTGTCCATAGAAAAGCCAAAAATGGCAGGAATATGGAATGCAATACGTCGCCGAGCTTGTTTTTCGATCCCTGACATAATTGCATTTAAATCTGGAAAAGTTCAATTTTTTAATATTTTTTCAAAAATTATAATGTTACTCCTTATCGAATATGCGAGATCCCAGCTTTACCCTAACAGTATCAGTGTTTTGTCCATAGAAAAGCCAAAAATGGCAGGAATATGGAATGCAATACGTCGCCGAGCTTGTTTTTCGATCCCTGACATAATAACATTTAAATCTGGAAAAGTTCAATTTTTTAATATTTTTTCAAAAATTATGATGTTGTTCCCCTTATCGAATATGCGAGATCCCAGCTTTACCCTAACCGTATCAGTGTTTTGTCCATAGAAAAGCCAAAAATGGCAGGAATATGGAATGCAATACGTCGCCGAGCTTGTTTTTCGATCCCTGACATAATTGCATTTAAATCTGGAAAAGTTCAATTTTTTAATATTTTTTCAAAAATTATAATGTTACTCCTTATCGAATATGCGAGATCCCAGCTTTACCCTAACCGTATCAGTGTTTTGTCCAAAGAAAAGCAAAAAATGGCAGGAATATGGAATGCAATACGTCGCCGAGCTTGTTTTTCGATCCTTAACATAATTGCATTTAAATCTGGAAAAGTTCAATTTTTTAATATTTTTCAAAAATTATGATGTTGTTCCCCTTATCGAATATGCGAGATCCCAGCTTTACCCTAACAGTATCAGTGTTTTGTCCATAGAAAAGCCAAGAATGGCAGGAATATGGAAAGCAATACGTCGCTGAGTTTGTTTTTCGATCCCTAACATAATTGCAATAAAATCTGGAAAAGTACAATTTTTGAATTTTTTTTAAAAAAATATGATGTTACCCCTTATCGAATATGCGAAATCCCAGCTTTACCCTAACAGTATCAGTGTTTTGTCCATAGAAAAGCCAAAAGTGGTCAGAATATGCAGTGCAATACGTCGCTGAGCTTGTTTTTCGATCCGTAACATAATTGCATTTAAATCTGGAAAAGTTCAATTTTTTAATATTTTTTTCAAAAATTATGATGTTACTCCTTATCGAATATGCGAGATCCCAGCTTTACCCTAACAGTATCAGTGTTTTGTCCATAGAAAAGCCAAGAATGGCAGGAATATGGAAAGCAATACGTCGCTGAGTTTGTTTTTCGATCCCTAACATAATTGCAATAAAATCTGGAAAAGTACAATTTTTGAATTTTTTTAAAAAAAAATATGATGTTACCCCTTATCGAATATGCGAAATCCCAGCTTTACCCTAACAGTATCAGTGTTTTGTCCATAGAAAAGCCAAAAGTGGTCAGAATATGCAGTGCAATACGTCGCCGAGCTTGTTTTTCGATCCTTAACATAATTGCATTTAAATCTGGAAAAGTTCAATTTTTTAATATTTTTTCAAAAATTATGATGTTGTTCCCCTTATCGAATATGCGAGATCCCAGCTTTACCCTAACAGTATCAGTGTTTTGTCCATAGAAAAGCCAAAAATGGCAGGAATATGGAATGCAATACGTCGCCGAGCTTGTTTTTCGATCCTTAACATAATTGCATTAAAATCTGGAACAGTACCATTTTTTAATATTTTTTTCAAAAATTATGATGTTACCCCTTATCGAATATGCGAAATCCCAGCTTTACCCTAACAGTATCAGTGTTTTGTCCATAGAAAAGCCAAAAATGGCAGGAATATGGAAAGCAATACGTCGCTGAGTTTGTTTTTCGATCCCTAACATAATTGCAATAAAATCTGGAAAAGTACAATTTTTGATTTTTTTTTTTTAAAATATGATGTTACACCTTATCGCATATGTAAATCCCGATTTTACCCCTAAGAAGTATGTACTTTGGTTAGAACTATGTGAAACTCTCCATATATAACGTAACTATAAATAAGTATATTCTATAATACGTTCATAAACATTGGGGAATATCATATCTTAAAATGCGCATTCACACAAGATTTTACCTTCAGATGATTCAAATACTTGCCTGGCAATCAAAAAATCAATGTCAATATCAATCAAATCAATTCAAATTCAGCTTCAAGCAAACAATTCTGCAATGCTAATTTTCTTTGCAATGCTGTCAGAGAAAAGTGTATGTATTCGTTTCAATCAGGGTCGGATTCAGAAAGGTGCAACTAGAAAAAGTTGCTTGCTAAATAACTTCATTTTGATTTTAAAGTGAAATCTTAAAATGTGTAGGGTTTGTTACTTAGTAGAACATTATAAATTTCCTCCTTTCACCTAAGATATATATTAATATATATTTATATTTTACAGAGTCTGGGTATTCTGGCGTCCATTCCCGCCGGTCTATTGATAGTATCTCTGCTGGGTCTGCTGTTGTACCTGTTGACCAGGTGCTGCGATCGTCGCCAGAGAAAGCCGACTGCCCAGCGTTGCCAGAGCTGTTCGCTGGTCATCATTACGCTGATGACCTGTGCTGCCATCGGATTGGGTAAGTCCTGATTCTTGATTATATTTGCTAGGGCGTTGAACCGCTGCAGTAAATCAAATCGGTAGTCGCAGTTGCATTTGCCAAGGCGCGCCCTTTGCAGCTGCATCGCGTGCTGGCGGTTGTCGGTGGGCGATTGGCAATTAGCCAGAACTCAGCTTATCGCCAATGGAGCGGAGCACGGCGTCTGGTCACGTATGCAAAGTCGCGCAAAGAAGTGTAGCCAAAACTGGAGAGCCATGCGTCATCGGTGGAAGTGGTGGCATACCGGCGACACAAACGATGGAATATAAATTCAATTAGCCGCAGAGCTCTTAATTGTATCAGACATCCGAAATGTGTGCCGCGGCTCGCGTTACATCACTGACCTGCCCCTGATCTTTGATATCTCTGAATGAACTTGCCGCTGGCATCTTAATTATCTTGGCATAATTTCATCTTAACCCATGACTGCCACAAACTTAATCTTTCAATTAATTCATTTTTAAAATTTTCTGCATTTGCAGGCTTGTACGGCAACGATGACTTCCACAATGGCCTCCTTCAGGCCTTTGGATCCGGGAAAAGCGTTGAGGGTCTGGTGCTCACCCTAAAAAGACAGGTAAGTCTTAAACCAATTTCCTCAGTTAGCTGTTAAGTTATACCTCTTTAAACCAATTAGAATACGAAATTTAGCCAACAAACTAAAAAAGTTGTTTCTTATTTTTTAAAAAGATTTGTGGAAAGATGTATGAGCTTCAGGCTTCTTAAGCTTCCCTAGTATCTGAACAAAGTCTGAAGTGGGATCTTTAACTGGGCTTAGTTATCCAGTAAAGAGCCCCAGAGAGGGGCGCTCTTGTTTCATAGCTTCCATACACTCCTGCTCCTGGCGTTCCCATTCAACCTATGGTCCTATTCCTATTCCTATTCCGAGCAACGCCGTCTCTCGTTTGGCTCCTTCTTGTTCATTATAATCAACCTAAAAGCTGGCTGCTGTGTTGACAGTTACGTGGCCACGCGGGATAGGAGGGCGTGATAGGTAATGGGGCTGACTGGAAGGTGAAATGGAGAAATGGAGACTACGGGAAATGTCCTCCTGTCCTGGCCAAAGCTTTTGCTATTCATAAACTTTGTCAGCACAGACAGACAGGTAGGGAGGGGGGGAGGACGAGGACGAGGCAAATGAGCCGATAAGCCAAAAGGTTAAGGGGTTGGTTTAGGGGGAGGGGGGTAAATGGGCCGGGAGGTGTATCATCCAGCAGCACGAAAGGTAGGCGACAGCGACGGCGACGACGTAGTTCTCAGAAAAAGAGGGCCAAACAGATGGTTGGCATTGCTCGACTCTTGAGTAAAACGCTATTAATTATCCGTGACACAAAGGACGATGGCTGAAAGGGAATGGAAATGGCTGCTAGCGGAAGGGGCGTGGCTCTCAGCGGGCGAAGTGCGTGGGTGATGCAATTTCTTGAGCCCGAGAAATAACACCCCCATAAACCTGACCCAACCCCAAACCAAGTGCGGAAGCAAAAGTATTACGATAGAAACTATTTTCCCTTTTTCCTTTCGCATCCTTTGTTCTACAACGAACTGAAGGAAAGGGGCATGTGGTAACAGACGATATTGGAGGCGAGTTGGGCTCTTCCTCCCCCTGTGTTTGGTCATTAACTTTTGAACTGTTCTACCTTTTTGGGGGTTGAACTGGAATTTGTATTTGGAGGAGGAAGTGGAAGCATAATCTAAACCTTTTAATATGCTTTATTACTAAGCTCACTCTTGTACACTTTTCAAATCATATAAAATCATAGCGGGTGTTCCAATCAATTAAGAAGTAAAGATCCTACTAAGCCACCTTTTACATATTGGTTCTATATAGACATAGGAAAATATAAAGATGTAGATCGACAGTGATATAGATTGACAGTATGCCTGATATCAATTAAAATTTTCAGACGGAGAGCATTAAGCACGACTTGGAGACGCGGATGGCCGGACACAGGGTGGATCAGTTGGTAGAGAAGCCACAATATAACCAGACGGTAGTCATGCTACTCATCGAGACGTCGCGCCTGGTCACGGAGAACACCTCGCGGGCAGTCGCCTCACTGGACAGCATGGTCCACTACTTCATTAAGACCAAGGGCAGCGAGAACGACACCTCGCTGATGGGTTTACTGCAGGTGAGTTGTAATTTTGTCTTGTGTCTCTCGTCAGAAGGCCACTGCGTTGTCTTCATCCCCTCACTAATGCACATTTTTTTCAGATCGGCGAGTTCTACGAATCGATTCGTTGGCCAGCTACCTTGGCCTTTCTCACTGTGCTCCTGCTGCTCTGTACGGTTTTAGTGATTGGCGTGGCCAGAAGATCCCGCTGCACCCTGATCTTCTTCAGCGTTTCTGGTCTGTTCTGCATTATTATCTGCTGGCTGTTGACGGGCGTTTACCTGGCCTCCAGTGTGGCTGCCGGGGATTTCTGTATGCGACCGCACGACTACATGTGCCGTCAGGTTGGCATGGTTAGTAACACTCTCGAGGCGTACTTTCCCTTCCAAAGTCACTAATTTCTGGGTTTTCTTTGAAATATCTAGCGGAGTCCTTATGTTGATTTTCTCAACTGCGGTACGCCGCGCAATCGGTTCATTCTACGCCTTAATGAATCACGGGACCTGGTGGATCGTGCCAGAGAAAGTGTGGAGCAAATGCAACGGTAAGTGATGGTGCGGAGGATCGAAGTATGGGTATATACCCTTTATTGCCTTTTTTGCAGGATGAGCCAGGACACGTATCCGCACATCGACATCCAGCGCACCCTGAATGCCATGGACAATGCTCTGGAGAACACTCTGCGTAACCTGACGACACTATCGGCCACTCTGGAGCGCCGTTCCATTGACATGCACTACGAGGAGGCACTCCGCGGACTCTGCGGCGGCGGGTTACTGGGACTGAGTCTGATGATGGTGGCAGGACTGCTGACATCCTTCCTGCTGACGATCCTGGTATACGCCGACTCGCACGCCTGGATCTATCTGACGAAGCGGTATGAGTTTTGTTGGCTCTTAATGGTGTAGATTCCCTTCTAATTTAAGATTTTTGTGTATACTTAAAGGCCAACACTGGATGCCGATAAATCGGAAACGGCGCCGCTGTTCTCTGCTTCGAATGCGCCGAGCGCTAGCATTTCGCCAACAGCTCCGATGAGCACGGGGACGATCAACAGGACGCTGCTGCATCATCAGCAAGCAACGGCTGGCGGCGGATCGGGCACTTTGCCGGGATCTGGAGGCGTCGGAGGAACAGGAGGAGGCGTTAGTGCCAATGGGCACAACGGCATGGGACCCTACCGCAATGGAACGGCCGGCCTGAGACAAGGGTTGGCATCACCTTCTTCTCAATCAAGCCACACTTCATCCACTGCCACCTACAACAACCACAACAACGGCACCACCGGCTACAACAACAGCCACCAATACCACAACAACCACCTGTACAGCAACCACCACCACTACAACCACAGCAACAACACACAGCATAGAACTAACTTGACGGCGGGGGCGGTGGCAGCGGCGGTGGGCGTGGCCAGCAGCGGTCAGCGATCGCCGTCGCCGCCGCCCGGCTACGATTTGGTGCATGGCACAAGGCATGAACTTTAATTTCATTTGATTTGTTAATCCCCCGAATCCCTTTCCCCTTCCCTTATACGTTGTCCATTTCCCCTTTTTGTAAACGCGATGTTCATTATCTCATTTTATCAGCTGTCATTGGTTTCTGCTTGTTCTAATGATTTATTTAACTCGCTGATGCTTTTTAGTGTATAGCTTATGTCGAATAACCCATTTCGTTCATTAAAATGGTACATTTAAATTTAAAATCAGTTCAAAATATGCATATCCCGAATGATATTGCCATTTGTCATTGTAATTATGGTCAAGAAACTCAAGGACCTCTGCACCTTGTTCAGTTTACGCTTCTCGTTAAGGTCTTGTGTGTTAGACGTGTTTGCTTATCGTTTTCGTTTGGCTTTTGTTTAATTTAATTAGTTGTTTCGTTGCCGAAAAGCACAACCACAACAAATAAACACAAAGACCGCCAGCACAGACCCCACCGACACTCACATCTCACTGCAGGGCTTCACTTTAACGGAGAACAGTAAACCCACAGTCCCAGTTCAACATCACTTTCTAATTAATGTTGGGTTCATCCGGTTTTAGACTTAATTTAACTAACCTCTATCCTAACTTATATTGGCACACTTGACTAATCCCAGCACTACGTCTTTCAGGTCAGGTCACCACACGCTAGGTCGCCTACCATCGCACCACCAGCAGTCGGCAACGTATCTACCGGGGCCCAACAATGGAAAGTACGCGACGCTCAGCAAGCAGTGTAAGACGCTCGAGTCGAACGACTTCTACTGAGATTCGCTTGCCTGCAGTTCCCATGCAGGCAGTAGCAGCAACACAGCACAGCAGCAGCAGCATTTGCAGCTCCAGCAGCAGCAGAGCAGCCTCATCAATCAGAACCAGAGTCAGAGTCAAAACACGCTAAAGAACATCTTCGCATCGGCCACCCTGCCCCGCTCTACGGGCAGTTCCATCCGGTCTGTGCTTTCTGTGCAGACCTCCAATGCGGGCATATGCCGCTCCACGGGCAATGGTTTAGACAGTGACCAGGTGGACGATCGTGATCCTAGGGATGTAACCAACAACAGCTTCAATCGCTTCGATCCCAAGTACATCAGCATTGGCCCCAAGGCGGCTAGGGGTCAGAACAATAATCTCAACATTATGTCCGCTGCCGGCACGGGCAATAAATGTGCCACCCTGCGGCATGTGGGTCGCTATGGTGGCTCGCTCAAAGGTGTGTCCGCCGTCAATGCCGCGCCCTCGCTCGCCGCCGCCCCAGCTGTCCATTCGCCGAACTTGAGAACCGCAAAAACGCCATCGATAGCGACCGTTTCAAAGGATTACTGCCAGCAGCCGGACTGCATTCCGCAGGAGTTCCTCATCCAGCAGCAGCAACAGCAACTCCAGCAGCAGCAGCAACAGCAGCAGCTACAACTGCAACAACAACAACAACAACAGCAGCAGCAGCAGCAGCAGCAACAACAACAGCAGCAGCAGATGGTGTCACCTGCTCCGCCACAACCTGCCCCTCCACCTCCGCCCAAACCAAAGATAGTCAATACGTTTACAGAAATTCCCGGCACCACGGGCGTGGGCAGCTCGTATGCCAAAGAGCAACAGCAGCAGCAGCAATTGTTGGCCCTGCAACAGCAACAGCAACAGCAGCTGCTGGCCCTCCAGCAGCAAAGGGAGCGAGAGTTACAGCAGCAGCAACAAAGGGAATTGCATCCACCCACCACTCACATACTACCCGCTTCGGCTGTATACAGCATCGAGAGCAGTGAGGTGTTGCCCACGGCCGCACCGCGTGTGCAGCAGCGTTCTCTAAATCCCGCCTCTATTGTTAATCAGCCGCTGCCCGAGATTCCCACCAATCAACAGCAGTCAAAGATTTCCGCTCAGCCGCTTTGCGCCGCCAGTTTAGGGCAGTACCGCTCGTTGCAGCGTCCCCAAACACAGAAACTGCAATCGGTGGCAATCTCCTCGCCACAGCAACCACCAACTCTGCCACCCAAGAACAGGCACAAAAACAGCAATCGTGGTGGAGCCGTCGACAGCAGCAATGCCAACCACATGCAGACATTGCCGCCGAAATCGGCAAGCTTAAGGCAGCAGCAGGAACGAGAAAGAGAACGTGAACGGGAAAGGGAGCGCCCTCGGCGAGCGGAGACCTTGGACAATGCCCGCAGCTATATAGAACAACAGCAGCAGTATCCCAGCCACCTGATATCCAGCAGCAACATAAAGAAGCAACACTCCTATGACAGCAGCTACCATCAACAACAGCAGCAGCAGCAGCAACAGCAACAACAACAGGCCTTCTACCAAAGACAGCATAACAACAACTTCTCCACGAAGCAGCAGCAACAGGCTATGCTAGAACAGCATCATCAACAGCAGGCTCTGTTCTATAGATCCCTAAAGCGAGGAGAACGGGGAGCAGCTGGCAGCGGAGGAGTCACCGGTGGAGGAGCTGCCATTAGCAACCACAGCGATTTATACTCGGTGACGGAGTTGTAGGAGTGCGCCTGCTGCGGCGGCGGTGTGGATGTAGTGCGCCGAGGCGCCTCATCCACATCGCTGCACGCGGCGGCGGCCACACAAACTCAAACCCACAACCAAAACCAAACGCAATCGCAGAATCAGGCGCCTGTTCCCCTGCCACCCAAGAAGCATCGCCAGCGGGAGAGAGAGCGGAACCTTGAGCGGGAACAGTCGGCACCCTGCAATGCCAATTTGTGCGAGGAGCACGAATACGATGAGTACTACCCTCAGGTTCATGAAATGCAGGCGGCTGCAGGAGGAACCGGAGGAGCATCCGGAGGAGGAGCACCTTCTAGCTCTGGATCCAAGCATGGCAAGCAAAGTCAGCAAAGAGCAGCCACTTTTGATGTGGCCGATGCCAGGGATTACGAACTGAAGCGTTTGGGCAACCGGAGATCGCAGCAGCAGGCGGCTCCAAGCAAAAGAAATGGGGGAGGAGCTGGAGCTGGAGCTGTTAGCCAGGATCACCACCGCAGCCACGATCGGGAGCGGTCGCGCAGCGACCATCGCATTGCCAGCTATGCCTGTGAGGAGGTCAACTCCTCGGCGCTTTGCAGCGCCGGCTCTATGAGCTCCATGCTGCAGCCAGCCAATGGAACTGGCCACAGGAGCAACAGCCACCAGTACCAGCGTGATCACCATCAGCGCGATCAACAGTTGCAACAACAACAGCAACAGCAACAGCGGGAGCGGCGCGAGAAGACTTTCAAGGTATGATTTTTAGAGACGTCATAAGAATTGTCCAATCCGCGCCAGGACAGCAGAAACGGCAGCTCCAGGCGGCGGACGCGTTGAGGGATAAATGGAAAGCGAACGTGGCGGATTCTACAGCGTTTACAAGGAGGTAAACCCCCCGAAATTGAGGAGGTATCTAGGAAAACTGAGAATGGGAGTGACACCATCGTTGGAGCATTATAATTCGGAGACCCTTGCCTGTGTTTATGTTTAGCTTAAGTCGCGTATACTTTATCTCTGCCCCTGTCTATCAGTGCCCTGTCCCTTTCACACGTGAGGATTCCCACTCGTATATGATTGATTCAAAACTGCAAATGCTGCTCAAAAGGTGCTGAAATGTCAAGGGTAGTGGTCGAAATAATAGTACCCTATACTTTCCAATCGACTTTCTTTTTATACGAAATCTAGTAGCTTTGTGGTTGTAAGATATACATTTTATAGATGCCATTTATAATAGGAAACTTTTACAATCCCAATCTTGATGATTATTGATTAATTATAATTTTTTAAAATTGTATAGCTTTTAAAGTCCAATCGATGTTTAGAACCTTTTCCAAAAACTGCCACTATTATTTTGACCTCTGCTGTACATACAGCCGTGTACACCTTAAAACTACAACAGTTCTCTGTTCTGTGTTGTTGCCTATTGTTATATATAAAGAAATAACTACCATTATCCATAACGAATACTTTTTTTGTGACCACTATTAAAACGTGTATATTTTAAACCTAAATTAAGTCAATTTAGTTTTAAGCGCAAAACTATTTATTTACGACGTATTGTAGGATTTGACCCAAAAAAAGACAAAACGGGGGAAAGCGAAGAGACAATCGGCAAGCTAGTGATTGTTCTTCAACATTCTTAAACAAGACTTCGTTATAATATTCTCGAGAATCAAATTCTGTCTCTGTTTCTCGCTTTTCGTCGTCAAAAGAACTTATAATTTTCAAAAACCGTGTGTTTTTTCTTTAGTTTTTAACGACCTCTTTTTGGATAAGCGATTTTTGCTGCATATAAATTTTTTTTTTTTTTTTTTGAGAATCCGTTGCGAGAACCGACAACAACAACCACAGCGAACGTACGTAAAATTTTTGTGACGTCAGAAATCTAAAAGAAACAAAACAAACTAAGAAACACAGGAGCAACAACAAAGCACAAGACAACAAAACACAACACACAAACGAAAACAAGCGAAACACTTCACAAAATACCACATATTATACACATATATTTAAAGGTTTAACATTTTAAACAAGCAGACAAGAACAAAAATGAAAACGTCTTAACTCAAGCAATATGAAGAAAAGATAACGAAAATAAGCCATACCAAGTTGTTCAACTATTTTAAAAACGAATTCAGAAAGCAAATTGCTAAATAAGTAAAATAGACATAAACATACATTATATACTTACATACTTATTATAAAGCAAGCGTAAGGAATATTAATTAATCGACAACAACAACCACAAACAATGTTCAGGTCAATAACTGCATTTAAGAGGAGAGAATAAAAGGAACCCCTCGTTAGGCGTTTAATTAATCGAAATGTTTTTATATACAATTGCAATTACCAAATATATAAATCCAAAAAGACACCATTAAACATAAAATTTAACAAAAAAAAAACAACTCACAGAAGCCGTTGGCACAGCGTGAAACATTTTATAAAACTAACATAAATTTACTACTCAAAATACTTGACACATACGCGAGCAGTTGTGGCCAAAATAATTGTAGTGCCATTGGAAAATCAAAAAGTTTACAAAATGTAGTCTGCCCTTTATAGTTTTATGTACACTTTACAAATTTATTTCAAGTCGAAATTTAAATAATAATCGCTTCAGAAGAAGCACTACCATGATATATATATTTTTTACTATCACTAATTTAAATTAAAAACGAAATTAAATTCTATTGAATCATTTTAAACCTCCTGTCGAAAGCCATCTTTGTTCTCCTGTGCAGTTAAGCGCACCAAGGCCACACGTTTATTTTGACAACAGCTGGTCACACAAGCAAATTGAAAACCGCAAGTAAGGGAAATCAAGCAACAAATAAATATTCACAATTTAATCTCTCTGCTGTGCAGATGCAAATAAAACACGGAATAAAACCACTTCAACCATGTTGAAAAATGTTGCAACACGCACACAACACACACACTCGCCAATCCTCCGTCTCTTTCTTCTCTAGCTCGTTCTACCTTGCTGTCTCGCTCTGAACATTCCACCCACCTCCACCTTTCCATTGTAGCTTGCACAAAGAATACTTGTATTAGCTAAAGTTAACACTCGAAGAGGAAAGTTAGTTAAAGAAACGTTAGAGTTATCAATGAAATAATGGAAAACTGTTGCAGGTCCTGTTCTCCTGTCCTGTATATAGAAACATATATAAACAATCTATCGAATCTATCTATTGTATAAGTAGTAGTTGTCTGTGTAACTGTTTGTGTGTGTGTGTTTGTGCGATGTTTGCAATAATTTTAAAAGTTTTTTTTAGTTTGAAAAGCAAACGTGTTTTGTATGTAGTGTCGTGTATCGTAGTCGAGTCTAAGCGATAAGGCCAAAATAGATTTTAAAGTGCGAGAAGCAGGCGAAGGATTAAGGATTAGTGGGCAAGCACCGTTAGAAAAAAAAGTAAGGAACCTACTTAAGGCATTCAAATTCTAAAGCAAGTGAAAATTATTAATAACATTAAATCAAACGCAATTAAACACGAGTATGTAGGGTGTGTAATACCGAAAAATGAAGGCAGAATACCGAAGTGTTTCCCGTTTTAGCCATTGACTACTTTAACTGACACAAAAATCGTATATTAAAATGATATTAAAGTGGGTTAAGGAAGAGAGGCAGCAGCTACGTATTCCAAACTTATATAGTAAACGAGAAAGTAAGACGAATTTTAGAGAAATCAGTTTTTATATAAGGTTAAGTCAAGATACATCTGGTGTTCCCCTTTTAACTGCCACTTCCCACTTCCCATTTCCCGCCCACAAGTCCCTCAGCGAATCGCGTATTTCAGTGCATATTATATTATAATTATATACATACATACACAAATAAACCAACTAATCTATATATAAATATATATAAATTATTGTAATAACATTATAAGTCTGTACATTTGTTAACATTTCTAAAGCAAAGGCAAACGAAAGCAAAGAATTAGAAAACCACACCCAAGTAGTTGTAGCTAAACCGAATTAAAATTATACAAGAGATGAACCTATTTACGAGCAAAACGAGCCACTCGCTTCAGATCATCCAAAACGTGTGAACTACATAAAGTGCAGGTCAGATCAACCGTTGGGCGCGAATCGGAATCGAAACAATTGTTGAAAGCAACCGCTTTAAAATCAAAACAAAACCAAAATGAAAGAGGCAGAAAATGAAAAAAGAAAAATGAAAATAATTATTTAACAGTTGTGAACAAATTATATTTACATAGCGTATAAATAAATTGCATAACAATTGATTAAAATACAAACAATTCAAAAGCGTTTTTTTTAAAGACATTTAAATATTTGAATTCGATAGTTATCGATAAGTGCATCATTAACAGTGCTGCCCATAGCTAAGTAGCTCCTCGCGGTTTTTTTTAAACATTTTTTTTTACACTGAACTAATCGATAGTAAATGTTAAGTATGAAATGTTCCATCACTAGAAACCAAAATCAAAACAAAATAATACTCTTGATTGAATTATTTAAAAAATGGAGCGAAAAACCAGGGAATATGACGTTAGCAGGTTCAAGGTACTGTTTCTCACGAAAGGAGAAGGCGGAGAAGAAGAAGAAGAAGAAGAGTATGAGGATGGAGACGTCGTCGGTTATAGACCGGAGATCTATGATGAAGAACTGGCGCTGGAACGGGAAGAACAAGAGCTTGAAGAACAGAATCTTAGACGCCAGCTTTATCAAGGAGGTAAAATTAAAATAACTTACACTACCGCATTAAGTCGTACTTACCCTTGAACTACCTTCCCCAGGATCCGCATCCTTCATCTGCAGGCATTGCCCCGAAGTATTTTTTAACAAAATGGAGCTCGCCGCCCATCGCCCCATTCACAGGTTTAAAAGTAAGCAGACAAAGTCCACCTCGGAGTTCATCTGCGACGCATGTGGAAAAGTCTTTCAAAGACGCCACGCCCTCGAGAATCACATGAACGCCCACAACGGCGAACGGAATTATCCGTGCCCGGAGTGTCCAGCTCGCTTTGTTCAGCGCAGCAACAGAGATTGCCATCTGAGGAATGTCCATAGGAGGGAGTACCTGCACTTCTGCCCAGAACCGGGATGCGAGCGGCGTTTCCAACAAAAGCGGGAACGGGATCAGCATGTCAAATCGGTTCACCGCAACGAGCGGGACTTCGTTTGCAGTACCTGCAATGCCAGTTTTAGCCATATTGTAAACTATAGGAAACACTTGGCGTCCCACGGCTCTGAGAAGAACTATGGCTGTCCCATTTGTGGAAAGCTATTCGGACGAGCAGAGAATCGGGATGTTCACCTCTTCGTGCATAGTATTAGTAAGGCGTATGCTTGCTCCGTCTGTGGAGCAGATTACATGCGTCGCAATCAATTGATTCGTCACAGTTCAGAGAGTGGACATCAGAACAACCCGATTGTCCGGCAGAAACCTCAGTTTAGTCCAGCCCTGGCTCAGAGACACGATCCCGGCAGCCCCTCAGACCTAGAGGACTTGCAAGAAGAGGGAAGCGGGCGAGCTGTCTGGATAGTTGCAGAAGAAGAATGCGAAGAAAAGTCAATTGTGGTTCAAGATCAATGCAAGTAAAACTGACCAGGTTAGTTTGTACCGAATATTAGAAATACGTCGATCTAAAATAAGAATTTGAACTGAAATATTTTTTTAAGAAAGGAAATGATATTAATAATAATATTATTATATCATATAAGAGTATGAAAGCCATAGATATATAGAAACTAATAAAAGGCAAGCAATGTGAGCTTGCCTTTCCTGAAACTTTAAAATGTGAAATAAATTGAATTACTAAAAAAAGATAGACTGATGCGAAAACACTAAAGATGATGGATTGGATTCATAGTTTAAGCAGAAAAATCCATAAATTAATGATAAAACAGCGAAAATTATTACGGCATGCAAAACATGAACCGGAGACGCCGGTGAAAAAATAACAAGACAAAGCGACGAATGAAAAGTGAATGTCGCTGCCGCTGCCGCAGCCGCTGTTGCACTTTAATAAAAAGAAATGTGAAATGAAATGTGTGGTGTCACGTGCCTCTCGCCTCGCCCCTTCGCTGGCCCTCAGTGTGGCTTGGAAATGACTAAAAATCAGGGGTAAAACCCATAAATAACTAAATCAAAATGGGGAGCAGAAAAGAGGAGGCGAATAACAACTGCTGCCAACAACACCGAAGAAATGAAACTATTTTACGCCTCTTTATACACTTACACAAGGTGTTGTATGTTCAAATCAAGTTTGCTATCCAGAAGTTAATATAATCTCTTTCAGTCAATCTGAAATCCTATCAATTCTAATATTATCTGAATGAAACTTTTCCAAAAGACTTTTCTTTTCTTATACGCAGTAAGTCGGGCTAGATCGGTCGACTATAATAACAAGACTTTGACTGCAAGGGTAAGTGAAAACTTCGGCTTGCCGCACCGCAGTCAACTTCATTTTTTTACGGCTCATTTCACTGTTAATCTGTGAGCAAATTTAACCCCTCCGTAATATTTCAGATTATTCGTTAAAAATAACACTTGATTTTAAGCCTAATAGCTCGACCATCAGTTGTCTGGCTATCGTTAACCAATGGTTAAGACTTTCATACGTCGTCTTTCTCGCTTTTGGCTTTGTAGCAAATACCTGTCCCATTTCATAGCTTTTGTTAACTGTCATATGAAAATCATCGAACTTATTGTTAGCATTCGCCTTTCAATTGTTGTGCTTGACTGAACTAGTCGACACATTTAAGACTGCCCAGGGGGATTACATAAGCCTTGACCCTGCCTCAAAAATATTTGGCGGTTACCTCAACAACCCAACATAGTGTTTCTTTGAGTTGTTTATTAAAGCCTCACCGCGGTTGACGTTATAAAGAAGAATGGATTTCTGGAACCCAAATAAAAGTTGTATAGGCTTTTTTAATAGGAAATTATACGTTTTATAACGACATAATGTCGTTAGTATGAGTATGATTACCGTAAAAGCGTATTAAAATATGCAATAAGGTGAATTCAATGAGTTAGGTTGGAAAAGTTGTCCATTTTCCGTTTTCTTCCTAGGTCACGTCTCGCCGGACAAATTCTGACCGCTCCCATAAGGCATTAAGGTTCACCTCCAGGCGTAGGTCAAGTCAGTCGAGAGGAGGAGATCAGATCACCTGGTATGATCGTAACCACTAATCCGATCCGATCAGAGCCCATCAAGCTGCCATCCTTTCACTTTCGTTACGTTGCGCTGCGTCTTGATTTCTTTGATGTAGGTCAGTGACTTAAGGATCAAATGCCCAAACTGGTTGCCAAGCTGGTTGAATCGCCAAGATTGCGCAACTGGGATTGGACTGCGAAATGGGATGAACAAATTTAAGTTCATGATTAATATGAAGAGACGGCAAGTGCGTTTACCATCCATCATCCGGAGGTGAATGCTGCAAATGGGAGATAAACATGTTTATTACGCACATTACGAATCTAGTGGCTGGCTCACTTTTCTGCCACTTTACGCTTAATATAATGCCACTTTAAATATCAATTTCCCTTATCATTTATACTACTTATTATGAAGGATCTAAAATACCTTTCTTGCACTTCAAAATTAATTTCCAATTGGCTTTTCTGATAGTTCCTATAAATGTAATGCCTCCTTATTGCACAATCTACTCTCTTTTTTCTGACTTTCTACCTCCTTTAATCACCAGTCTGCGAAGCCAAAGCCAACGGGCCAGAGTGTCGGCAAGTCATTGCCATGCCAGCGGCGTTCCGTCCGATCCACTCCCACTGCTGCACCTCCCCTGAGCCCCGTTCACCCATTTGTTTGATATAGTTTTACGCATCAAATGCGAATCACAATTTTTAAGCCGAATCCGAAATCGTATAAATCCGTAATCACAAATCAGAGAGAAAACCGCCAAAATTTGCGACGTGTCCGGCATTTCAATGGCCTTGAGTCTATCCAGGTTGCTGGGAGGGGCTAAAGACTGGGAAAGTTCCATTTCGCTTTTTAAATTAAAATAATTTCAGTTGGCCTGTGAATATTTTTAGTTTTACAATCTTAGCTTTCTAGAATCTAGATCATGGAGTAGCAAAATATTGAGCCCAAAAACTTTCTTTCAATAGAAACATTTTTACTTATTTTTAGATTTTTAGATAGTTTCCTTCAAAGACTTTGTACTTTTCCATTTCTTTTTTATTATTTAATCTTGGCTTGCAGTACCAAATAGATAGTCATAAAAATACAGAGACTCTAGATCTTAAAACTAGTATAATAATTTAGTGATAGCCATGGGAGGACGTGGCCGGGGGTCCGTAGCTGCTGGCGGGCGGCAGGTAGGTGGCCTCCGGCTCAAAAATAGGAGTGGCCGAGTCCCCGGAGTGACCGGGTGGTCCGTAGAGCTGTGCGGGAGCTGGGTAGTCGTAGCCTGGCGATGAAGAAACCTGCAGAAACGAAGAGCTGGGAGTGGCGTAGTCATAGCCGGAAATTGAATTTGATCCGGATTCGTGCTTGGCTCCCAAAAAGGCGCTGGGCTTAAAAGGCGCCTCAGAGAGATCAAGTTCGTGGGCTGGTGCAGCAGAGTGGGCGGAATGGGCGGCGTTGAGGATGTCGGTATGAAGAGCCTGAGGCTTGCTGGCTGTGTAACTAAAGTGGCCCAAGCCCTTGTGGCCCAGCGCGTAAACTGGCGTTTCCCTCTCCTGCTCCCGATCGGCCTTTTGCTCCTGTTCAAGAACCTGTACTGGTTCTGGCAGTGATTCCTGATGATCATAGCCCGGGATGAGGGGTACGCTATAACTGCTCAGGGGAACACCCTTGCCAAACGGCGTGGCAGGAACATCGTAAGAGTATCCTGTATGCTCCTTGGCCGGTTTTGGCAAGGGGTGCTGGGCAAAGTGTCCACCTGAATAGTGGCCTAAGTCCAAATCGTGGCTAGGTCCGTGACTGGCTTCATGGCTGATATGTTGGCTGACGCCATGACCAATTCCGGTACCATAACCTTGAATGGGTATGTAGCTACTGTGACTGGGCCTGTGAGCTGATCCCAGTCCGTAGCCAATTCCGTGACTGTTTCCAGTGTACTCGGGAGTAGTCACCACATACGTGCTGGTCTTGTGGTTGTTTCCTAGAAGATTCAGATAAGACCCAGCGGGGGATGGTGCATACTTGTAGCCTAATCCGGATACATGGCTATTCCCGTGACTTATTCCGTGTCCAATTCCATGACTTATGCCATGACTCTGACCATGATAACTGTGTCCGGAACTCGAGCCACCATTTGTTTGAATAATATAGGTTTCGATCTTGGGACTTCCCCCACTGCCGTAATGATGAGGTTTTCCCTGGCCAATGGAACTGGCGTAGCCGTGACTTCCAGAATGTCCGTAATGATGGCCATAGCTGTTCGCAGCTTTCAAGTGACTGTAGTGTTCGGGGTAACCACCGGAGCTCAAAGGGTTTCCATGGATACTCTCAAAGTTTAGATGACTTTCATAGGAAGGCGGCAGATATTTGTGGGAAGGACCATGATAGTTGGATATTCCTCCGAAACTGAAACCAGCATCTCTTTTCGGCTTAGAAGAAGAAGGAGTAGGTGCAGCAGGTACCGACGAGGAACTATCGAGATTTGAAGAAGAGGCTGACGTCAATAGAAAGAAGCAGCAGCTGAGCAGAGCCCCATTTAACGGAACGCCAACGATATTCATGCTCAAACACAACAAAAAAAGCACACAAAAAAAAACGTGAGATTAACGGATATCCTTTGATCGTGTCCGGTTGTCCCTTTCGCTCGTGCTGGAATCGCTATAAAGAAAATATGTAAGTCGCGACTCGACTCGCTGCCGTTGACGTTATGTTGGCGACCTCTGTGAATGGCGACCCTTTTATACTTTTGTAGCTGCCACTTCAAACTCCACAATACTCCATTTTTTCCGTCGCTTTTGGCCATTTTCGCCACTCTCTTTGTATGCTCTCTTTTTCCCTCTCACGCACACGCACGCGACAAGCAACGGTATTTGGTTTCGCTTTGTGTGTGTCGCCGCGGCACAGTGGCGCAGTAGAAGAAAAGGTTCCAAAAACTTAATTAGCCTGGGAGCTTAACATTGTAAGTAAATCTATCCCATGGATAATTCTTCCACGATCTGTATATATATATATATAGATAGATATAAAACTTAGATTATATTTAGAAGATATAACTCGTCAAAACCGCGAATTGGTTAAATCATTGCCAGACCCTCTGATTATGTTTGTGGGCTATATTTATATTATATTTATTAACAAATATTTATATTACTATATATGTAGGAACTTTATTAAATATGATTTTGGATCATTAAGTTACTTTTCTTGAACGTATCACTTAGCATCCACTGCAATAAATGTTTTCAAACGGTTGTGGCATCCTTGTTATTTTATTCTCTCCACTCTCCACTTTGTCATTGCGGGCGGAGAACAAGCCATTCGCATTTGCAATTTGGCAGCGTGCGCAACTTAGAATTTGAAGCTCCGTAAAATTTTCGCCTGTGATAAAAGTAAAATAAAAATAAAGCGCAAAACAAAAGTTTTCTTAAGCAGTGATAATTCGAATTTAGCCAAATGGGTTAAAGTTTCAAATAACAGCGGATATCTGGAAAATTTGTCGTTTTCCCCATTCAGCCTGGAAGAAGAAGGAGGTAAAGGAAAAAGCGTAAGAAGCGGCAAAGCGTCGAAAACAACAGTTAGTGATGGCAAAAGACTCGATATTTGATGGACGTAGGAAAAATAATCGCTTAATGGTTCTAAATAAAAAGTGAGTACAAATACAATAGTAATTGAATAAGGGAGCATATAAAAAGAAATGCCAAAAGTTGGCAGTGTATATTGTGATAGTCTATGGTTGATTTTGACCCAACGTGCGAGTGTTGCCGGCTTGACAGCGGCATTGAAGTTCAAGTGACACTTTTTCATATCACATGTCTGCACTACCACGCCCCCTTCGCCTTTTCGTTTTTTGTGTTTGTTTTTAAAGTTACCTTTAGCCATTTCCCACCTTCTCTTCTGCATAAAATATCCCAAAATGTTCACATTAGCTTACGCGTAAATTGTATTCACAGTAACACACTTCTTCCCTCCTCCGCCTTCCCCCTCTATCCATAGTCTACGGTTCCCTTTTCCCTCTTTCTTTGCATTGTAATTGTTGCTGTTTTCTTAGCTGCACGATTTTTTTGTAATTCGAAAAGCGATTTGTTTTGCCACCGTTCGGGATCTTAATTTGGGCCTCAGCTGTGGATGATGATGATTTGGCAATAGCTCAGAGTCCGTTAGTTCCCCTCCCTTCCCATTTGTGATGAGCCATTGCGGACTAATGGACTTGGCCCGAACCCAGGCGATATACTCGTACATATCTGCACTCACCCTTGAGCTTTGAATTGTATGCACCTTGCTGGTGTATTTTTCTCATGGTTTGGGCCATCTGGTAATCAGCTGGCGACCCTCAAGTGCAGTTCTTCTCCACCACTTGTATTTGCTTGTACAAACAAGTAACTAACTAAGTACTTGACTCTATTAATTAGTCGATAAGTAAGTAATTAGTCGATAGTAGCCTTCTTTTGCACCCTTCTTTCAGCAGCTCGCATGTTGGCTGTTTTTTTTTTTTTTTGTTTTTTTAAGGAAAAATTCATAAACTACTATTTGTTACTCGATTTCTGCCTTGTCTCCAGTCTATGCTTCGTTGGTGGAGGCTACTGGTACTTCTTCAACTTGATCTTCTGCTGCATTAGTGATTTGTTTTCGTTTTGTCGTTTGCCAACAGTTGTGAGCCACCTCAGAGCTGTTAGTGGATGTAATTGCCTGGTACTCGCTAAGGCCCGATCCCAGACAGTTGCGCGATCCGCCAGCCAAGGTCACACCCGCCACGCCGATGTAATTATAATTTCGCCGATTTGCGACTTGTGCGAGACGCGGCAGTCGTAATTGAGGCATTTGAAAGTGGCAACAATTTGATCAAATAATCCTATCCGCCCGTGGTAAAAGTCGGCCGCTTTTAAAGACGCGACCTCTGAGTGTGGGTGAGTCAACACCGGACTTCGACTTCGACATAAAACTTGGCATAGGAACCAAAGCTGGGACTTTGACTTTTACTTGGTGCGAGTGTGGGTTCCTGTATTTATATAGTATCTGCGTTCACTTATTGGAAAACAAGTTTATTTTACACGATTATTAATGGCAGTTTGCTTCCACGTTTTAATTTTTTAAACTAAGATCTTACAAGATTATACGCATTACTAGGGGATAAGTAGACATAGCCTATCGGGGCGACTCCTCCGATGTCCTGCTGCGGTTTCTCCGCATTCCTTCCATGTAAGAAAGGTTGCTCTAGTTGCTGCTGCGGTTGTTGTTCTTCGATACTGTTTCGCTGCTCGTGAACTATATCATTATCCTGTTCATCCGTGTAACCTGCGAAGGGCGATGGTCTGAAGGGGAGGCTAAAATGGCCTGCCTGGGGAGGAGCTGCCAAGGGGTGGGCCTGCAGCTGTGGAGTAAACAAACCCACTAAAACGGCCTGTTGCGGATACTGGTGTTGGTATGGCTGTGGATATTGTTGATTCTGATTCTGATATTGCTGCTGCGGTTGGGTGTTAGGCGCCTGCTGTTGCGGTTGATTCTGTACAGCTGGAGGAAACGTCTGGGGACCCGTGTAACCAGGACTTAGTTGGGAAACGCTCGGCAATTGAGGCAAAGGGTTGGGTGTGGGCAGTATCAAAGGGCGCCAGGGCATCGGGTAGAGCCATGCGGGATTGGGCTGGATTTCTGGCTGATGATGCTGTGCCCTAATCAATGCAAAACAACTGATGAGGATCAGGATTTGACGGTGAATAGCCCTGAACATGCTGCACAAAACAGTTGTCTGTTACAATTGCTCGGAGTGGCCCTGAGGCCTCGGTCATATATACGAGAAAAGTCCCAATGTCATCCGATATCTTTGGATCCGCAGTAAGCGATACCTGCCACTTCCATCTCTTCCTTTTGGTTGCGTAATCGGGGATCCAATCGCCGAATTGCAATGCCCCACCAATTGTCCGTCATCGAAACGCCCAGCTTGATTGAAAATTGTTATTATTGTACCCTATTCTGATTAAATGATTGTTTTGGCGCTTGCGAAAACGATGCTGCAATGTTGGAAGTTTGAAAATTGCCCTGTTATTGTCGACGTCTTTTGTGGGATCAACAACCCATGCAACTAAGCGGGAGGCTTTTGGACTTCGTCGCCCTTCGAATGCGACATTTTCCACCTGAGGAGTTTCCTAGATTAGCTGACAGCTGCAGAGAAAAAACAAGTTGTTTTCTCGTAGGGAAAGCTACACTTTTGGTGCCGCTTTGATTTAAGTACAAATTAAACTCAAAGTATCAACAATCATTGTTGTATTATTCATAGTTTGAATATACAACATTCTGTATACAGATCTGCACTTAGGTCTTTTATTCATTTCATAATTTAAAATCATTTTTCGATTTCCGTATAACAATTTAGCCACTGAAAATGAAAGTGACGCCGTATTACAATCAGGTATACCAGTTGCTGGCCCTCAGCAATGGCCAGTTTGTGTTGCTGCTGTCAGTTTTTGGTATTGCCGCTGTTCAGCACGCTTTCGCACGGCGGCAACATTTCAATTTCGCTGACTCGCCTTGATTGAAACCGATGCACGAACTTAACGAATACTGTGCCAAAAAGAGAGTACTCAGATCGATCCGATCGGCCTGTGAATGCAATATTTACTTATTGCAGCTGGCTTCCTGCTGCAATGAAAGTTGCGATGTTGCGGCCGATCAGCGAAGTTGCCGTTATTATCGTTTCTGCAATCCAGCAGTCTTGTGGGTGTTGTTAGGGCTCGGTTTCTGTTTATTTTACCTTCACTTGGGCGGCGGAAGCAGTTCAAGAACACTGACTTCCAAGCGTCTCTAATTGGATGTAGGTCTAACTTGCCGCAGCGGCAGTAGCAACGGCAACTTAAGTATGAGAAAAAATCCGAATTATAATTTTAGCGTAAATCGTAATTGAATTAGCCACGCTCGTTTTTCGTCAGCTATAAAGGTCGTTGCTGCTTCCCGCTTGGGATGATATCATTTGGGTGCTTTAATTTTCATAAATACCCCAAACAATAGTTGTGAGTATGAGATTATAGAAGTGCGAAAGAACACGAAGCTGTCTAATCAAATTAAAACGAAATAAACAAATTAAAACTGAATAGTACTTAATATTTACAGGCAGTAGTACTTGTAAATGTCTTATTGGTTTACCAAAAAATATTCGTCTGATGTTCATCAATGCAAACTTTATTGAATGTATAAAAAAAAAAGTTTTAAATATTTATCTGTACATTTTTGACTAAAATAGTTGTACTTTCCAGAACAAAATGGTTTTCCTGAGAATGGCAAATGTTGAAAATGGTTTTTGCGAACAGGGCTCTTAACTACGCTAAAGATTTAATGTCGGTTACAAGTTTTAGTTGGAGAATAATGAGAAATGGAATTCAAATTGAATGTTTTAGTAGTAGGGCTGCTTAAACTCGTGGCTGGGATGGTTCAAGCTATTTTTCGATGGTTGAGAGGGCTGAGAGGCGTATAGATACGGTGGGGACACTGCATAGGCACTAGCCGAGTACTGGCGATTGCCTGTGGCATGTTGTTGGGATCCATGTTGCTGTTGCTCCTCGTTTTGTGGCCATCCCTTGTGTGTGCTGTGGGTAGAAGGCAGTTGGTACGAGTGGGATTGCATTTGCAGAAAGTCAGAAGAGGATCCATCACGGGAATCACTGTGGGAATTCTTGTGGGATTCGCTTAAAGCTGGGGAATTAAAGATCTGTTGCTCATGTTGTCGCTGGCTCAAGGACGAAAGTCCTGAGGGCGAGGAAAACGGCTGCTTCCGGTAGGCGTCTGGTAGGGATTGGGTTAGGAGACGAGTATCTAAAGCATCCAATCCAATGAATCGATCGTGCTCAAAGTCGCCGGATAGTGTGTAACTAGGAACAAGTTTTACATCTCGTCCAGGGGCAGCAATCGTTTTATGGCTATTGGCGAAGGCCTCAGCCGAAGGTAGTTTCTCCAAGTCATGTTCTCGGATGGGCTGCCAAAGGTCAGCTCGCAGAGGTTGTTGTTGCTCAAAACGATTGTGGTACTGCTGTTGGTGTGGCTGTTGAAGGAATTGCTTGTGCGGCTGCTGGTGGAAGTTATGACCAAGCGATGATTGCCAAGATTCACCTTCTTGTTGCTCACATGGCTGGCGTTGCTGTCCTTGATTCGAGTTCCAGGATTCTTTCTCTTGCTGCTGATGATGCTGTTGCTGGAAACTAGAGAACTCGCAGGAGTGTCCATTGGGTTGATAGCCCTGATGATGCTGCTGCTTGGAACCCTGTTCATGATGTTGCTGCTGCCCGTTAATTTGCTGATGTTGCTCGTGGCCTAATCCGTGATATTGCTGGTATTGAGATCCTTCGTTATATGCGTGGTGTTGTGCGTTTTGATGGTTTTGTTCGTTTCCCGAGTTTTGATGTTGCTGTTGGGAGAAAGCCGATTGCCAGGAGTAATCCTCCTCTTGCTTATGGCGATGTTGCTGCTGACCTTGGCCATGTTGCTGCTGGCTCGGGCTATGCTGCTGCTGTCCCTGACCATGTTGCTGTTGGCCGTGGCCATACTGTTGCTGGCCCTGGCCATGTTGCTCCTGGCCTCCGTTATAATGTGAGCTGTAAGGTCCATTGAAGCCCTGCTGACCATGGTCGTAATCTGAATCCAAGATGCTGCCGTGAGAGTGCGGCTTCTCGGAAGGCAGATACTTGTGGGCAGGGCCATTATAGCGATAGCCATTCCTGTTGTTATTGTGCAATTGCTGGGGGCCAACGACGACGGCCTGGACATAGGAAATACCCAAAAGGGCAAAGAGCAAGAGGATCTGACAAAATGTGAAATTAGTTGAAGAAAATCAAACGAAATCAAATAATTTACCTTAACAGCTTTCAGCTTCATATTTGCGGCTTGTTGCAGGGCTTGAATGCTGAGTGAGCAATGACTAGCTACAGCCAGAGAAAATACTTTTTATACCCGCCAGCAGTCGCCGCCAAACAACTATATGATCTTGAATAAAATCTGTGCGTGAGTGTGGTCCGAATCGGAGCCACAAAAAGTAAATTCAATGATGCCACTGGGCTGGCGATAAATCGCCAAAGTCTCACGTAACTACCCAAGCACTTGACACTCTTTTGTGCCACTTACAACAAATTCTCCGCGTATATCTTGTGTTCCTATACAAAACCAAAACATAGATGTGGCGGATGTACTTACATTTAGTTTGAGCGGAAGATGCAAACCAGAGGCAGCTCTTTTTCTGCGACTTACGCCATCCGAGGCTAAATTTTTGGATTTCTTAAAATCAGTTTATTGGTGGGTTGTGGGCGGATGCCTTATAATTGCGCGCAAAAATATTTATTTGTATCACACGTACACGCTTACACCCACCGATATGTCAGTGAAAACAAAGCGGCAAGCGAAGCAAAAGGCCGAACAAAAATGAAAACTAAAAAGCTGAAACGGCCGTGCAGCACATACATTTTCTAAGCTATCTGATATTTCAACTTCTTTCGATAGCAAGCAGTTACTTTGCTTTTTATTGCAAGGGGAAACATCTACTTTTTGTGGAAAAGGCCAAAACATGTAATTTTCCAGGTTTGATTACTAATCGATTAGAAATTACCAACTCAAAAGTGTATAACATGTCATATTTGGACGATTTTCCGGTTTGTTATGGTCTGAATACTGTCATTTCTTGGGAAAAATCAAAATTTCGCATAATTAAACAAAAAATGCAAAAATTGTACTTTTTCAGATTTGAATGCAATTATGGTAGGGATTAAAAAACAAGCTCAGCGACGTATTGCTTTCCATAATCCGACCATTTTTGGCAGTTGATCTGATAGTTTGGGGTTGAAATCAGGATTTCGAATATATTTGATTTGAACATATTAGAAACCCAAACCAGGTTTTAATGTCAATCGAATTAAAGCTACGGATCAAAGCTATTGAACTGCATCGATTTTTTTTATAAGATTAAAAGCTTACGAAAATGAAGTCATCTTCGCCGATTTCTATTTCCATCAAAGTCATCGTCCTCGCTGAAATGCTCGGTTTGGACATCCTCCTTCATCGCTTCCTTTCATTATCGGTAGCCTCGCTGAAATGGTCGGAATACACCTTCAGTTCTCCAGTTCAAATGCTGTGTTCTTTAATATTTGCTTAAATTCTTCTTAATCACAGTTTAAAACTTGCTGTGGCTGCTTGTTAGGCATACAAAATGTATAATAGAAAAACTGCAAATGAAAATTGTTCACAGCAGCTGTATTTAGTATATGGTATTTGCTCGCTTTCCGTTATTATTATTTAAATTTGTTTATTTTCGTAATTCGCTTTCTCTTTCTAGTTGGCCACTCTTTTGAGCTTTTGGCCGTACAATAAATAATCATACTTAAACTTAGAGTCTAACAAAAAAAAAACATACAATCAACCATGCACAAAACTCTGGCATAAAATCAGCTAGGAGGGAGGTGAAATTTGTGGGTTTAATCGATTATTGGGAGGAGGGGCGTTACTATTTGGGCGGTGGCCTTAAGGCCAAGCTGGCTTCCAAATCCTTAACCTCCGATACCCGAACTTGCTTTTTAATCGCCTCTTGTCTGGGATGAGGACCTCCCCCGCGTTTTCCACGACTTCCGGCACCCGACCCCGTGTCGCCCCCTGAGACACCAACGCCTCCTGAACTGAGGGCGCGATTGCCGCTTCCCGCCTGGCCTCTGACCTTATAAGTATGCTGATAGCCATAGCCCTCGGGATTGTTATTGAATTTTGGGCTGTAGCTGTCGTATTCAAGACTCGGATGCTTGTTACTTGTGTGGGAATGGGTGTGGCCATGGGCGATCTGATGGACGTGGCTGTGCGTGTGGGCATGGGCGAGGCGTAGTGGCTGTTGCTCCAACCAGGGATCATGGTCATCTGGAAGGGTCTCCTTCTTGAGCACATAATGATAGGGGTAGCCCTCTTCGTTAAGTTTTGACTCATTTATCCCGTCGGATTCCGGTTCGGCAAAGTATCCGGAGGAGTAGCCCTTGTAATCTGGATGCAGTTCCCCGGGTGAACCAGTTACCTTGTACTTGTGGCGGTATTCCTGCAGAGCAGCCTCCTTGCTCTTGTAGGGCAGGGCATTGATGTCGTGATAAATTTCCGAATTGAAGTACAACTTTTGGGGCTTACCCGAGTTCATGATACTTTCCTGATCTTCTCGAGAATCACGCTCTCTTTCCCTTTCGCGTTCTCGTTCCCTTTCCACCCGATCTGGTGTCGGTACTGCGTGGGAAAGATCGAATTCTTCTATATTTTTCAGGGCCGCACCATGATCAAAGTACTCCGCACTCTTTAGGGGCAGGGTATACGGTTTCGAGACTGTTTTAACTGTGGCCGTTTGCAGGGGAGCCCGAGTCTTAATCTTGTATATGAACTCCACATTGGGACTTAGTTCGTCAACGGGTAAATCGGGGGCCTGATAGGCCGTTTCCGTTTCGGATTGAAAGTGTTGAAGGGGTTTCGAGTTGACCAATGCCACCGCCGAGCTCCTTAATTTGCCAGTTGTTTGATGATTGTGGTGCTGCGGGTAGTGCACCTGCTGCTGGTGGTGGAGCTGTTGCTTTGTCGGCGGTGGTGCCGTATACTTGGGCCGCACTGTGCTGCTGCTGTAGCGTTTCTCTTCCGAATGCGAGTGTGAAGACGGCAGAGACCCAGACCCGGAATGAGTACCAGACGAATATGTCTGCGACTTGTAGTAGGTCTTGGTGATCGGAGACAGCGGTGGTGGCGGTGGGGGCGTGACCGGTTCTTGGGGCGTACTTAGGATCTTACCCTCTGCCTCAAGTTCCTTCATGTACTTGATTACGGACTTTTCAATCTGTTTCATAATCTCCGATTTGGGGATTTCGGTTGAGGCTGAGACCCTAACCTTTTCCTCGGCCTCGGCCTCGAGGTTTCTATATATTTGCGGTGGCTGATAGGGGGCGTAGCTTTTATAGTTGTTGTTGTTGTTGTTGCTATATTTCGGCCGGTAGTGACGTTCGATGTCCTGTTCATGTCCCTGAACGTGAAATTCCTTTTCGGTAGAGGGTTCATAGAGTTCATAGCTCCGGGTCACTGGATCCTTTTCGTAGACAGGAGCAGGAGCAGGAGCTAAGGCGGGTGACGCTGGCAACGACGATTCCGAGGAGGATGGACTAGAGGTTCCCGAAGCCACGATCAATGTCTGCTGTCTCTGTTTATGTTGCGCATGCACTTCTGCATCCCTGCCTTGTTCTTGGTGGATCCTCTGAGTAGATGATTGAAAATCCTTCTTTGACTGGATGTGGTTAATGTTCAGGTTCTGATTCTGGTTTTCACTTTGGCTATGGACTTGATTCTGGTTCTGGATCGGACTCTTAAGCTGAATCGGAGGCTGTTTATAAGCCAATTTAATGGCATTGGCCACGTATTCAGCTGCCGACTGGGAATCCTCCAAGTTAACGGAGGCTGCGGACCCCGATGCTGCGGTAGTGGTGCTCAGGATGAGTTTAGGCTGCGATTCCTGCTCTGGACGCACTAGATTAAGTTCCATCTGACCATACCTGTAGTCTGGGGAATATACAATGCACAATCTCTAAATTATTGTATACTTTTCGGCACTTTTATAATTTTGGCTTAAAAGAGAAACCCATTTGGGTTTTCTTGGCCAACTGAAGCACTTTAGAATATTTCTTTTCGGTGACTGAAAACTGTATTACCTTTGCTGGGCGCATCTTTTGATCTGCTGTAGATCATTGATCCTCGCATAGGGTAACCACGTTCATCTGATCCTCGACGACTGGCTGCCAAAGCCAGCTGATCGGGAATCGTCTTTTCACCAGTGTCCTCCAGAGAGGAGGGACCTGCTCCTGATCCCCCCAAGCGACGACGACTGCTGCCCGAGGTGCCTGAGGTCACTGAAATGGCACTGCAAAGTGACGACATCTATCGAGAGATCAAGCATTAAAACCTGTCAGAATCTTTGCCGATCATAAAAGATGATTCCTTAAAAGCGAACTATATGTGTTCACCTTGGTAGCTGGGTAGCTCGTTAACTGATGCTGTCCATGACTACACATGGCCACTTAATTATTGGTCCGTTTGTTTGTGCCCACCTTAAAATTAAACTAATAAACTCAGCCAATTTACTTTCGCTTTCGAGGAGGCCAAGGAGAGAAAAGGAGAAAGAAGAGGGGACTGACAGCTTACTTTCTGTGTGATTGATTGCCGTTCAGTTGGCCAAGTTCAATGGCCCGCTGGCAAGAGGGGGCAATAAAACATCAGCATGAAATACTTGCAACACGCAATTGCAGATCGCAGGAAAGGAAGGGGGAGGATCCTGAGATCACCCATGAAACATCGAATGTAAAAGTGTTACTTAATGTTTGCCGTTTCGAGATAATTCTTTCTAAGCTGAAGTCTCCAGAAATAGAGTCACTTTGGAAAAGTTATTGTTCAGAATCGTATTTAAACTTTGGATCAGTGAACACATTGGGCCAATATATGTTAAAAAGTTTTCGAATATCCACAAATATCTTTCACTTTTGGGAATTACTGATTCTGATTAGTAAATAGTATCACTTTTTTACTGGACACTAAAAAAATATACTCCTTGTGGGGCGATAGAGCCCAGTCCTTGGGCGGGAACACGTTACTTACGATGATCAGCAGGCAAAGGCACCACTGCCGGCGGCTAAGGATGTTTAATCCCATTTGAATGAGCTGGATCGGGTGGTGGTGCTGATAAAAATGGAATCGTGGTCGTGGCGCGCTGGAGTCTCAGCCGTGATTGTTGGCGGCCAGCACTAAGGCGAGGCTTTTATAATGATGCGAACCGCTGCAGCGGAAAATTTATGCGAATGTGCGCGATAAAGAAAAGCGAGAAAAGTGCAAGTGCAATAGAGAGGCAGAGAGATATGGACAGAGAAGGGGAGAAAGATCGCTTCACTTTCGATGACAATTCGAATCGTAATAAGCCATCGATGCACAACACGGCGTATGCGTGATAAGTTCGCCCATTATAAACCGATGAAGTGCGAGAGTGAAGGCCATATACCGGCGAGAAAGAGAGGCAAAAACGGGACAACTGGTTTTTAGTTTCTTGGCTTCAGTTTCAGTCGCAGTTTAAGCTGCAATTTTGATGGCTATAAGCTAAGCCAAACAAACCCCCACCACAAACGGTTCAATGAAATGTTTGCCGGCGAGCAAAGCGGGGTAATACCCGTAATTGACTTGTTAAATCCTCGCCACAAATGGCATTTATCGGGCTAAATGACAAATAATGGGCAGGGAGTAACCCGGGAGGGATCTACTCAGTCCGCTTGGATGCCGGAAAGCAGGATAAGAATCTGGCAGGTACTTGGGTGGCCTGTTGTATAGCAAGTAGTCGTGGTTACCTCAAGGATCCCTTACTTTGACTAGGTTATTTCTACCCATTGAAGTCTACAAAACGCTGATATACATTTAACAACTTTTCAAACATTTACTTGTTATAATTTGTAAGTAAAATTGAAACATGAGGTGTCTAATTTGATCAAGTCTTGCAATCCGACTTGCAGTTTCGGGGTATTCCCGTTAAACGCAGCCAGTGGAAGAAGCAAACACATTAACATTGAGATGAGTCCGGCGGTGCAGCAGCTCTCTAATCGGTGGTTGGCTTCATGGTCTCTGATTCCATGCATAACAATTAACAAGGATCCAAGATAAACAAAAAGTTTTTCGTTGCTGATTTATGATTGCAACCGCAGCTGCAAGGTTTCTCGATGCCAAAGAGTGGCACAACTGAATTTTCTTCCAATAAACACATCCGGAGATCTGCGTGAGTGTCCCATTGGAAGAGCTTGCCATTGCAATTGGCCGGCCGCTTAATTTTCGTTACGTGCACAGGGCGTATGATTTATATTTTAATATTCTGCGAGAGCGGCGAAAAACGAAAATGAAACTGAAACTGAAACTGAAACACTTACCACAGTTAACGCTAACGATAATAGACGTAATAATAAAAGCGAAACAATTTTGCAGCGGCACAGCAAAGCGATTCGGCCCCTCCGCATGTGTGAAGATCAACAACCTTGCCATCAGCCGAATACGAATGCTACAGCCATACATACGGCCACATTTTTTGCCGCTGCGAATGCGATCCATGCCCCGTTATGTGGCCAAAAACTGCCGAGACTCCACCAAATCCACTGCCAGCAGCCGAAGAAACAGCTGTGTCAGCACCACCAGATGAACAGTGGTTGAAAGCTGGGATAGCCCGTTAAAAGATTGTTCAAGCATTTTCATTTGGTAATAAGCCACTGCATTTGCCCCACTGTGGCACCTGCAGCACTTCGACAATGCTGCAAAATGTTATTTTTGTAGATCGGACTGCACACAGACCCCACTCACCACACATCGCTTAACTTATTAATTCGTTGCTGGAGTCGTTTCAGTTACAGCTGGTGTTTTATGGGTCCATTGTTGGAGCGAGATAATCGTTAACATCATAAGGTCGTTTTCACCAAGTAGTTTTTTCTACAAACTGGGCCTGATAAGAATCCGGACAGGGAAAAGCCCGATACTGTGAGCGGTCCAACTCGGCGTGAATCAAAAGAGACTTGATGGGCTTCCGAGGGATCCAAAGTTGTGATGACAATGGCTGACAAGCGGTTGACGACGCACTTTTGATTTCCTGTTCAAAATGACATTGGGAAGGGCTCGAGGAAGCGGGCGGCATGGAATAGAGATCATCATTCAGCTTGAAGGATCATGCAAATGGAAGTGAGAATTTGAATGCGAATGGAAAATGGCTAACTGCAAATGGAAATACGAATTTTTCAGAGAGTGCGGAAGCCGACCACTTTTTAATTCGAGTGGAAAGTCGACAGACGCTGCCGCATTTCAAAATTATCGAAATTGGCACAATTTACCAGCCATTGCGGCAGCTGATTATGCTAATTGTTTGGCGTAGTATCTCGAATCTTTACGTAAACATCCATTTTGAAAGAGCGATGTGGCAAAAAGGAAGAGACTGCCATGTGAAAGTGCTGGCCATCGTTTGATGGTGCGGCAAATTGCAGCAGATTGCATTAGATCACTAGAGCACTGGACTTACGGGGGAAAATTGGTTAGTATGAAGAAAGCACTGCCTTTGCTTGCCTTTTTCATTATTAACAAATGCAGTTTGCATTTCTTCTTGGCAGCTATTCTCGTTTACATACACACCTCCTTATAGGTCGCCATTAGATTTGCTCATTAAAATTAGCCAAATATTCTTAATTCCAATATCATCAATGTAAAAGTAGATCAGCTTGCTTTCCAATACAGAGGACATTCAGTTTGATCTTCTCCAGAGATTCCCAATAGGATTCGGTGCGAAATCATCCACCTCCTTTTTTAACAACCAGTCAATAGAGGCTGCCGTCTTGATTTTCAAATTAGTTTCTTTTCGGTTTATTCATACAAAAATAAAAGTACATATAAAAAACAAATTCAATTACAGACTTAATATTGCACACATGATCAGCAGCACGTTTTCTTGGTTAACAATATAAACAACATAAACAAACATCGTACAAAATAATGAAAAGCGTATGTGTCCCGCACCTCTGCACGAATAAATGGGGAAAACGTGCCTACTTTTAGGCCCCCTCAATGAGTGTTACCCAAAAGTATGCCTTCGCACTGCGGTGTGAGGGTGTTGGACAGGTTTAGTGTGAGATTTGGAGCTGGAGGGTCTTCCCCCAATTCTTCTAGCTTGGAATAAATACTAATGAACGGATATCAGGCACATGAAGCAACCACAAGTTGTGTTAACAATACGAGTTAGTTGGGGGATGGCACCCACTGAAAAGATACTGTCGTGTAGGAATGGTTTTTGGGTTGCAGAAAGCACGCATGTTTCTCAATGTTCTAGAGCCAATACTATCTTCTAAAAGTATCCAAAGGTTTAATAAATTATTATAGCCACATATGATGCTAAAGTATTATTTTTATGGATTGCAATTCAAAAGCCAGTTGGTACCTGGCCAAGCCAGAATGGCTTACTCTTACTTTACTTTAAATAGTATTGACCTCTAGAGATATTGAAAATCTGCCTGACTTTTCCATAAAAAATAGTGGAGCGACAGAAATTTGAAGAGTTCTGAAATATTTAGAGGCGACATACTTCCAGAAACATTTTGATTTGATTTTAGTATCTAGATATTTCTGTGGCTCTCGCGATAACTTATTTTGAATCGTCACAAGTAGCCACGTTGGGAAACCATGTCGTTAGTTTAGATTTTGACGCCCTAATTTGCTAAATTCATCCTGGCAGTCAGTGTGCGCTTTCTAGTGAATCTCCATTCCCCCCGCGGACGTGGATTCGAGCATCAGCCCTCAAGCAGCTGCGTCGTCTTGTATTCCACAGCCGAGCCCATTTCAGCGCCCAGTTTCTCCCTCACATACTCCCGGATTTGTTGCAGCCTCTTGTCCGCTCCTTCCGCAGGCTCAGGACTAGCCGCCCTCTTTCCCTGGCGCATCTTGAGGCCGTGGGCGTGGTAGTTGAAGGGACGCTCTCCCTCGGATGGTTCTTGTTCCTCTTCGATGTCGGCCTGCTGCTGCTGCTTGTAGGGATAGGGATTGAAGATGACCTTGGTGTGGGTGGGTCGTGGGTTGTTCTCCGTGATTGGTAGACTGTGCTCCGGTTCCGGTTCCTGTTCCGGGACACCAGGACCTGTGGGTTGATCAGATTCTGGCACATATATTGGCTGCTGATGCTGCTGCTCCGGCTGTTGCTGCTGCTGCTGGTGCTGCTGGTGCACATGCTGATGATGAAGCTGCTGTGGTTGTGGTTCCTGTTCTGGATGGGCCATTGCTATAAGATAGACCTGAGGCTGGTGCTGCAAGTGAGTTTGTGGCTGGGCATAATAGAACTGAGTAGGTTGCTGGTAGTCCATGGGGGCGTAGTATTGCTGCGGCTCGTACTGTTGCTGCTCCAGCTGCAACTGTTGCTGGTGGCGCCCCTTGTAGCTCTGGTAGACATCGTCGATGGGTGCGTACTGGACTGGCGGAGGAGTGGGTGCCAACTGGTGAGCGTAGCTGACTTCCTGGTGGTATGTGGCAGGTTCTGGTGGTCCGTATTGCTGTGAGGGATCCACATGTGGTTGCTGCTGATGTTGCTGTTGTTGCTGCTGCTCTGCCTCCTGGAGCAAATGGAGGTACTGTGCCGCCCTGATCTCGAGATACTGCTGGAGAAGGGTCTGCAAATGGGCGGCGTACTTAGCTGGACCCGGGATACGCAGAACAATGACAGGCTCCTTATAGTCGCCAGCGCCATGTGCACCCTCAGCCTCTTCTTGGGGCAAATCAATCTGGGGCTGTTCGGGGGCAGTGTGCTGCGGCTGGGTCTCATAGCTGGTTTGTGGTTTAAGCTCGTAAGAGTACGAGGGTTCAATGGTGACGCTGGTCACCTGCTCGTGATTGTGATGGTGGTGCACCGCCGGCTGCTGTGGCTCCTCCTGCTCCTCCGGAAGTGGCTGGGGATGGGCAAAGCCTGAGGGTATATCGTGCTGCGAGTACGGATAGAACATGAACTTGGGAGGCGTGTAATCGTAGCCAGGATGCAAGTAGCCGTATCTGAAAGGTAATAAAGTAGAAGTAGTTGTTGAAAGTGTCTTCGGTAGATCCGCCGTCGATGGTATTACCCCAAATCCCCTTCGATGGTCCTCTTGCTGTTCTTGCCACCGCTGCCCGTGGAATTATCCCTCTCCACCTTGATCTTGATCTTGTCCCCGTGAAGTTTGAACTGCTTGTCCAGCTCCTTGATGAATTCCAGGTCGTCAGCAGGCAAGTTTCCAAATGTCTCGGTTAAGGCCGGTGCCTTGGTGGTGCCCCTGGTGGCTGCCGACTTAGCAATCTTCACTCGTGGCTTACTAGGCTTGGTGGTGGTCCCTCTGCTGGTGGAAATCGGTGCAGTAGTTGGCGTTTTGGTTGGCCGCTTCTTCAGGTTGGTAACCTTTTTGGGAAAGCCATTGCCCTTCGAACCGCCCGCCTCCGACTGGCTCAATCCACTGGCAATGCACAGAATAGCACTTAGAGTGCCCTGAAAGATACAGGCTTACGGCTTAGTTGGATGCAGAAAGTGATTAGATAGCTGAAGGTAAGGAAGGGATTTCGAAAGATGTAGCCGACACAAGTAATTTTTCTTCTTGAAACACCTTCAACACTGCAGCCCTTGATCATTGTTATATTGATATTGATCACGGTTGCAATTTACTCGGTGTTTTGTTTGTCCGCGAAGTCGACTTGGATTGAGCAAGACGGCGTTATTTGTTGCGGGCCAATCTTTGTTTGAGCTCAAGGCGAAAGGCGAAGACAATAAAGGGAGACAAAAGGGGAGTTGAAGACAAAAGCTGTGGGCCATCCATCCACCGGGTTGTCTCGATTTCGCTCTCAATATCGATCGTTAAACCAATCAACACACAACACACGCTGAGAGGGGGTTTCACATTTGACATTTCATCAAGCGAATTGGTGTTGTAATTGAAACTCGTTGTCGGCAAGTTCGCGTCTCGAGTCTTATGAACTCAGCGCTAGTGACGATTCGCGAAGAGTGACAAACAAACTAATGGTTCGATCTCCATCGATCAAATGCCCAAAATCAGCGATTATCTGGGTGACGATTATGAACCCAAATTGACTTTACTAACCACAACAGCTCTGAAATGTCAGATTGGTGATAAATAAAATGGGAATGTAGTGCTTAAAGTCATTTGAAAGGATGCCCCATTAGATTTTCAACAACGTGATGATTGTATCTTTTTATTGGTAACTAAAAGTATCTACTACAACGATTCATTATTGGAAAATGGTTTTGCCTCCCCCGCGTTTCGATGTTCGGAAAACAGATTTGCATAGCAGGCGGTTGGTTAGTTACATTTTAATTGCAATTATCAAGGCAGTGAGCGAGTGTGAGTGTGTGTAAACCGAAACTGGGACAGTGTGTCAAGTCATTTTAATAGTCGTTGTCATTACTTTACTGCTGGTTGCTTATGTAGCAGTTGCTTTTAGTCGTTAAGCAGGAAGAGTTTTTCGGCAGACTTGCCACAAGCAGCCACAACAGCTGCGCATTTCTGAGAGACGCTAGCATGGGAGCCAAAAATCAAAACGCTTTTATGTAACCCCTCATACAGAAGGAGCAGCTCTAACTAGTTAGATCTGTCTCTCGCATTGATTTATCTTTGTCAATTATTTCTGGAAAAAAATCATTTAATTGCATCGGGCTTTTGGAGTAGCCTTTCACTTGCAGTAAAAAAGAATCGTACCGAGCGGCTGATTATGTGGGGGATTGGAGAGATGAGATTCCCATTCCCATTCCAAGCAACAGCATTTCGTGGCGAACGATCGTCACGCAACGCGTGCAAATTAGTCGGACTCGGATTTTTGCTCAGTTTGTCTGCTGCTTTGGTTATTGTTTCGCCTCTGATGATGCAACAGCATCATCCGTAACGGCAACATCACAGCCAAGCTCAACAATAAAATGTAAATTAGACAACTTCGGATTATCCTGCCGGTGGCTGAGAAGCCCACTTCCCGGTGGGGTGTAATAACTTTATGTAACCACACAAGCGGTGGCTTCGGAAAACGAGTTCTCGTTGCGCTGCTCGGCGGGTGTGTTCAGCACTGAGAAGAAAAATGCAGAAATAGTGCTTTTATGTTATCTCGGAAAGTCTTTAAAAACATTCCCAGGTTTCAAAAAGTGTTCCATTGACTTTAAAGTTTCATTTCTAAATATCAAATTTAAAGGATGTTAGTACTAGATAAGGGTGTGATCCTGACATATCTTATTTAATGTATCTTGTCTAATGACACTGATTTAGATTAGTGTCATTTAAAGGTTGACCCCCCTACCGTTTCTAAAGTATTTAGTGGCTATTTCCTTCTGTGTTCGCATTTCTGCAAACAGACTTCTTGCGGTCATTATTTGCCTAATTTTCTGACATTCTTCCGTGAAATTTGGCGTCTAATTAGTGGCTGCTTAACGACTAACAGCCCAGCAGGTTGATTGATGGCGCGATGACAATAAACAAGGGCAGAGTCAGTTAGGCAAGTGGCAAACGGGAAGTAGTCGGTCGAGCGACGTAAGAGGTCAAGATTGCGATTAACCATCTTGCGGGAGTTGGAAGTTCATTGCATGCGCTCCGTCCGGTTGAGTGAACTGCAACCACTTTCCAACCACCAGCCAACCAAGCCGGCTCTGCCACTGCCACTGCACCACTTGAATGCAAATAATTTGTCAGCCAGCGACTAGTTTTTACTCCGCACAATTTCGATTTGTGGGTGGATCTGATTTCCGGGCTTTCCAAAAGAGATTGTGCAATCATCAAGGCTCCAACTCCTAGTCCGGCTCTAGCTCTTGCTCTTACCAATAAAACTGCTACTCTCATGGCGACTCCAGATGGCAATGCGAGTTCACACAATCCGATTTTGATAGCACTGTAGCACTTTGAAATATTCTTGCGTCTTTGTGGCACCACAATAAAAAAAAGAAGAAACAACACTCCTGAGTATGTTGGGTAAATTGTAAATGTAATTCTGTCTTGGACTCGGATTCGGATTCGATGCGGTGCTAGCGTTTAAAAGTCGCGCCTCTTACTGCGAATGGCGCTGGCGATGCTCGCGGTTTTTATATCGCAACCACAGCAAAAACAACTTGGCCTGGTCTTCGGGTTGCATCAAGCTGGAATATTGGCTTCGGAGCTGGAGTTGAAGTTGAATTTGTTAAAGCCAAAGAGACGAATGGGGAGCATGGAGCGTGGATCGTAGATCGGGGAAAGAAGACGCCAAGCGGACCGAAGTTCACCGCCGATGACACCGCACGTCTATACATATATATTGGCTTGTGACTGAAGGTGTAGGTTGCCTGGGATTGCTCCAACTGTAAACAAAGTGCTTTAGATACTTGCCAGATAAATATCAAAACGCATTCGTTGCGGCAGCAGGAAACAGGGGAAAGTGTTGCGGAATTGGGGAAAACAAGCTTTGGGAGCAGGAATTTGTTGGAAATTCAATAGTGTTGACCAAGGAGTTAAGAAGTTCTCTGTGCTTAAAATAGTCTTTAAGTTAAGAGCATCTTGATGATAGACAACCTTTGGTTAAACCGTTTTCCCTGGATAAATTTGTATTTTAGCCATTACTTCATAGGTTATATACTCGTACATGAACAATTTCTCACCGATGGGATTTCATGGTTGCCAATCCAAGTCATCCATATTCTAGATCTGATTCTCAGTTTCCTAACTCTCAAGACATTCCAATACCAATGCCTGCAATATTTTCCATCGTGAGAATGATCAAATGATGATCCACCTGGCCACGTCATGGGAGAGCAACCTTTCATAAAGGGCCAACGCCAGGGTATTAATCAAGAAGCTGAAAGACCTTTCCAATTTCTTTGGGCCGCTTTTGTCTCCACTTTTCCAGTTCAAGTTCAAAGTCATAAAAATATTGCCGCAACGATGGCTTATGACAAAGGCCTGGACTTGACTCGACTGGCTAGCCAGCCAGCATCGATTCCGGGGCCTTTCATTTCGGTTGAATGGGTTTCGGTTTTGATTAAAATTATTTCTATATTTCTGGGCCCCGCACAAAGCCACAGACAAATCGAAACAGAAACAGAAATTTGCATGAAGACAATTGCAGAGCATCCAGATGAGAAAAAAGAGAGTGCCCAGGGGTCCGCGTGTAGTGGCACTTTAATTGGCGCATTAAGTTGTTTTCGCTTGGGCTTGGCCTGGGATTTGGAGTTGGCTTTTGGGTTTAGAGAAATGGCATAACAAGAGTGTGGCTGGCTGTTCGGCTATTCGCCTGCTCGTCGCTGTGCGGTTTGGTAATCTGTTTCTCAAAAGACACTAGGCATGACACTAAGCGGCGCAAGATAAAAAACTGCAGATAACTGAACACTGGAAACTTCATTTGCAATCACGTGGCTTCACTGTCGAAAGTGTTTTCGCTCCAGATACCCTTGGGTCTGGGTCTGAAGTTTTGGGCATTTCAGGGTCGACGACAATCTCTTAGAGGTATAGGAACCCCTCGAGGATCTAGCAGGATTTCTGAATGGGAGATTGTAGTTTGGATAGCTATAGGTAACTTAGTTTTTAGTTAATCCCTTCTTTAGGGTAACTTCAGTTCCACCCACCTACGATCTCTTTGCCATAGATTGAAGGGCGCTCATCGATGGAAAACCAATTAAAATGTTGGCCACCTTGCCGGTTCAACGCTCTTTTGTGCTCCTCCTAAGTCTTGGCTCTCGAATCCACTCGATTTCCGCCAGATTCCGATGCCGATTCCGATTCCCAGCCCAATGCCAACGATGACCGGAGGGAATCGAAGCCGCGGCTAAGCAAACATTGCACAACCAGCCTTAGCTCAACTAGCCCTGGCTCATTGTCCGCCGGTGCAACAATGTCACTTAGTCAGCGCTCACAATAATGCGGCTTTATGAATTATGACTATTTATTGTGCTGGGCAAGTCCCATGATAATGGACCCTCGGATCTCACATAAAGCCCAGACTGAGGAGGCTGACCGTGGGCGACCCTTTCTTATTTCGAATGCCGATTTAAGATCGGGCCTACGATTTATTCGGATGAACTGGACCCAGTTTTGACACAATGAGCAGGTCACTAGCCTTGCACCAGTTGAATCGAAATCGGTAAAAGTATAGATTTTGGCTTAGAGGTCCCAAAGTCCCATCCATCAGTATCATATCCATCTAATTCTCTTGTTTTCTAGTTCAAGGAAGTGGCCATATCTCTAGCGCATTTAAGCTTCGCTCAGTTAACTTACGATCGGCTGAACATAGGGAGTATTGACCTCAGATGTTTCTTCACTGGGTGTAATTTTTGTTGACCTTTTCTGGTTTGTTTTTTAGAGTGGTCCGTGTCTAGGAAATACGTTTGCCATCACTCCCTTAAAAACAGGGCAGGGCTGCTCGTCAACAGCATCATCATCATCCACATTCGCCGTCTGCATATTTAATGGGTGACAAACAATGCAACAATTTTGTGCCAGTGACAGCTTCATTAACAGCCATGAGATAGCCGAAAGCAAGCGGCAAGCGCCAATCGCAGAGCGGCAACGCCAACATTTGCCACAACTCGCAACTGCAGCATCTTCGCTTCCTACTTGCATAAATCACCACCTGTCCGTCTTATTTTAGTCTTGTGTCTGGCGGATTTCGAAGCCGCATCTCGGCACACTGCCACAAAAATCATAATTTTGTGGCCACTCCGAGTGGCGTCGCACCGTAATTGTTTGTTATTGCTGGCTGTTTGGCTGTTTGGGTGTTTGGCTTATGGCCGCGATTACGTGAGCATCGAGCAAAGCATCGAGGGGAGAGTCCGTCCAAGGATCGATTCGGTGGCTTTGGGCTCAACTGGCTCTGGCTGTGGCTTATTGACAAAGTCACATATTGCACATTTGATTCGATCGGTTTCGCTTTTGGCCCGCGATGGCCTGGCCTGGTCTGGCTTAAAACGGAAAGCTGGAGATGCTGCACTTGCTGTTATGTGATCATCTTTTGGCCTTAGTGGCAGGGGAAACACAGGGCATGGGTTCTTTATTTCTCCATTAATGCCATAAACGGACTATAACCTTATCATACACTGACTGAGTCGTAAATAGTTTCCTCTTTCAAATAAAACACACTCCATCTTCGCTGAAATAAATATTCGTACTTGTAGGTACATATATTAATATTAGTATGTAAAAAAAAATCGTTGGGCTAGACCCGCACTAGCTTTTTGTCTTTGTGTTTTCCGGTTGTCCCAGCGATTTCTTCACGCTTCTCGTCCGGTCTACTTGGAAATCTCGCTTATAGAGTCTCAAATGCGTTGGAGCTGGATAAGCGAGCGTTTGGCGTTGGATGGGTGTGAATCCTTGCTGCGGACTGCGCTCCCTGATTAGGCGCAACACCTCCCAGCTGGGAATATAGGAGTCTAGCAGGGATTTCGAGGAACGCCCGGCAAATAAATCGGGCGTGGGATCCGGCTGCGATGGCCGGAACGGTCTGACCCTGTCCAAGCCGGGTCTGCGGGTCGTAATGCTCACAAAACTCGGAGGATATGGGAGTGGAATCCGAGGTCCATTGGCGTAATGTCGCTGTGGAGGCGGTGCGGGGGCGTAGGCGAATTGCTTGGACTGCTGGACGACCAGGGGCTGGACCAGCTTGTTGTTGGTGGGTCTGTTGCCCTGGGTGAATCCATAGATGAAAGGCGGCCTATTGTGTGGTGGCGGCAAGGGGCGTGGTACCGGAAGGGGCGGCAATTCATTATTGGACACATACTGAATGCCGTTATGGCCCAAATCCAAGTCGTAGGGTTTTATGGGTCTGGTTAATCGAAAAGAAGAGGAGGCTACCGTTGTTGCTGCCGATGGCGTGGGAGTGGGTGTGGCAGCCGTGGGATCACTGTGTGGCAGGATTTATTGCAAAGAAAAAAGAAAATAAAAAGAAGCTGATTAACTAATGGCTTAATTCCCCTAAATTGCAGCTATCGCGGTCTCCATTTGTCGGAAGCTGATGAGATTGTAAGTGAAACGCTGCCATTTCAACGCTTTCAGCCACTAACTTACTAACTTAACCATCCTAAATTGGCTAGTTGGACCTAAAATCACAGCTCCTTTCCATCGCTCATGCGATTAGCATTTCTATTTCCAATTCCGATCCCCAAGCGGCAATTTATACGTCAATCCACTGCCCAACTAGCCCTCAATCAGTTGGTCTTTAAATGTCTGTTTCAGAGGGTTAAGTGAACTTTGATTATTGATTAAAAGCCTAAGCTTAGAGCTTCTTATATCACTGTGTAAGTCGTAAGCTAACTTCAGAGGATCATTCTTTATTTTTAAAAGTCTAACTATTACTATGGACTGGTCTACAGTCCTGTCTTCTCTAACTCCAGATATAGTTTTATCCCACATATAAATAAAATCAAAAATGAAATGATGAAATCTATCCTATATCCATATGTATGATAACATGGCATATACTATTACACAGCTTAAGTAATATGTTAAAAGTGGACAGCTGTTATAGGTATGTCATAGATATTGTCCCTTAGGTTAGTTGGTTTGAAGTTCAATCTTCAAGATACAGAAGCATACAGAAAGACTTAACCGAAACTCTCAAAAGTTTTGACCTTTATCTTCTGGTGCCAAAGCACAGATTTTGGCTTTAAGCGTATGTCTTATTTGGTATCAGCTTATTTGGGGTCATAGCTAAAGCTTGAGCTTTCCATAGCTGGTTTTAAGCCCAGGGAAATGTAAACTTGCCCATAAAGCTAAAAGTCCAAACTTAAGCTGGCTTAAACAAGCTTTCTCCTAGCCAATACTCACACGAAAAGCACACCGCCCGGCAGGCGGGCGGGGAAGGCGTAGCCCGCACTGAGTTGCTGATGCTGCCGCTGCAATTGCCGCAGCTCCTCCAAACGTTGCAGCCGCTCAAGCTCCAGCTCCCGTTGTGCGGCATGCTGTATGTAACTGGGCGGCAGACTGGCGGCTACTTCCGGTCTCCATTCGTAGCGGTTGGGTAGGAGAGGCGCCTGATTGACGTCCAAAAGCTGATGCAGTGGCTGTTCCTGTTCCCGTTCCAAGTCCTCCAATCGAAGTGGCAGAGGCGAAGTGTCGTCATCGTAGCCAGAAGGCGGTGATAAGACAGCTTGAACACCAGTCATCAAGACGAGGGGCAGTAGGAGAAGGTGATGCAACACCTTCAGGTAGTTAAACGTAATATAATGCTTTAGTATTTACTAAATGAACACTATAAATGTACAAAAGATGTAGTCTAAGGCTGACCCTGAAGAGGTAAACACAGCATCAGGTGTATTCGCAACATCGATCTTTGAATGAATTGTCTTTTTTAGAGTTTGCACTGCTGGTGTTGGTTGGTGAAAGGAGGTTTAGTTTTGGCGCCTTTCGCTGAGCAGCGAACTGTCCACGCCCATCAGCGCCTATTGATGCGTTTAATTGAGTTTGACCACTTTTAATTTAGCTCAAAATTGCAAAAGGGCGGTCAGGGGACTTCCCCAGTTTATGTTTCAGGTGGAAAGATCGAAAGATTGTGGTTAGAGACAAGTGTGGTGTGAAATTTGCCCAGACCAAGCCCCAAAATGCTGCGGGACACCCCCACCACCCATCTTGAATCTACTTTTCGAGTTTGCACCTGCTGGCGAAGGCCACATCACTGATAAGTCACTTGCAGAGCGGCCTTTCTAAAACATAAGTCTTCCATCCTAAACTGCAAGCTCCGAATCCGAATTCGAATCTTCGAAAGCTCTGACCAAACCGCTTACGACCATTTGTCACGCGATGAAGAAGCATTCCAGTTGATGTTGAAATAGTTGAAGCAGCCGCAAAATTCTGCAAAACGAGTTGCACTCACTAAGTCGCATGCGTGCCCCAGTTCAGGGGCTTTTCGAGTCTATTTTGGCCTTTGCTGGCCCTGGCATCGGCTAATTATCCAGGTGATAACCAGGTCAGATGACATAAGACGTACGATGCAAATGCAGCTTGATTGATGGCTTAAAGAAGCTAATTGAGTGCGCATCGTTAAGACGCGTAATTTGTACCTCTCCCCTTGCCTATCAAGCCTTGGCTAAAATCGACCACACAGAGTGTGAGCATCAGTGTAAAAAGGCAACAGACTTAGCAGGGCCAGTGAGTGAAGTTCGAATAGATCGGTTGACTGCAGTTGACATCAATCAAGGTTCTGGGGCAATGTCAGATTTAAAAAAGGTGAAAATCTGTTTTCGTTTGTTGCAAATCCAGAGGTCAGTGCTCTTTGAATATTAGTTTCCCAATGAAAGGGAACTGGACACACCTATGTTTCTCTTGATTTCTATATCTCTTTATCACTTACTCAACTTTCCCCCTTTTGTTGGTCAAAATAATACGCCTGGTGACATATCGGGTCATTAATCAACCCGCGGACCATGAAATTGTTTCATTTGGGCGCATTAGAGATTACTACTTTTGAAAACAACTCGCCACATTCCCTCTCTTTTTTCGCCACCTAAATACCTTTCAGCTTATGAAATGCCGAAGTCACTGTTAATCTCTTTTCTTTGTTTTTCTGTTATTTTAAATTAATTTGTAAAATGTTTTGATTAACTAATTCAGAAGGATAGATAAGGTTTTTAAGCAATAGGAAGGGAATACCTTAACCCCAATCAAACAAAGAACTTTGAAGGATTTCTAGAACGTTCTTAATTATATTTAATCCCTATCTTTGGTATTCAGTCAAACATATTTACGTACTTTAGATGTACTTTTTCTATTTACCCAGTAACTAGTATGCCATTATTTAAGGTGTAATTCCTGCCTGGTCGTTTACATACGCACCATGATTACAATATTCCACTTATGGTCAACTCCACTATGAGTTATGGTAATAGCTTCCGCAAAACACTGATGATGATGAGGCTGCTTGACCCCTCTGATTCGGCCAAAACACGACGATCACTCCTTGGAGCGAGCAAACTCGGACAACATTCACCAGATTGCACGGATTACACTTTTTGGTACACCAAAAAAATAAAGTGAGCACAAAACTTGATCCAAGTCCAACGGCCAAAAATGAAAATGAAGCTGAAAAATGGGGACTAAAACCAAAAGCCGAAAACCGAAAACCAAAAACTAATACCGAACCGAGCGAGTGTCGAGCGCTGAGGCGACTGCAATGGCGCGAAGTTTTGACTCGACGTTTTATAGTTACGCTGCCTAATTCTCTCAGGTCTCAAATCTCGAAGCGGTGGTCTCGAATCTCGCATCTCGAATCTAAAACCCCCAATATCGGAACCAAGTGCACGGCATTCATTGGATATCTAGAGATGCAGATGAGCGAAGGATGGATGGGTGGAACGCAAAGGCGGATTGGATCCGTTTAGAGCTGCGGCAATTAATTGAAAATGAAAGTAAATAGCTTCAAGCTTCAAGCTTCAAGCTCGGCGCTCGGCAACTCAAATTGAAATCATTTCAAACTCAATCAGCAACAACAAAGCGAGCACCGCCCAGCAACAACAAAGGCTAATTTACGCGCTCTAAAGTGTTATAACAACGTCGGACAAGTGAAGCGCACACCCCTTCGAAACTATGTAAGTCATCGTCGTCCGTCTGCATGACTATTAATCGAGGTTCAAAGTCTGGGCATCGATAACCGCTCATTTCCGCAGCCAAAACTCTGCGGCAAATGGCCATCTGACCCATCATCCAAATCCCATTACAAGGGATTCACCGCCACGGGGCGTCCTCCGCATCGCCGTGGATATATCATCGTCAGTGCAACGACGACATGTGTAATGGTTGGTGATTGAAAGTGAATTGTGGTACTCAGTGCGCCATGGAATGCCCCTCGCAATGCGTTCAATACCCTAACGGAAAGGGGTTAATAGAAAGTAGTAGACGGTTCCTGCAAGTTTTTCTACATCTCAAGTTGGTCCAAAACATTGCCTCTGATTTATTGTTTTTTCTTAAACAACTTAATGAGAGCTGAATGTTGATCTTCAGTCTAGAAATTCTTTCTCCTTAACAACTTTCTTCATTAGTTTCAGTGGTAATGAGAAAAGAAAACTACCAATTCGATGATGTAATTGACCAAATATAGAGTGTACGCCAAGGCATTTATCTGCCGCGATAAGATCAAAGGCCTTTGGGCATTTGCCCCACTTAATGCGGCAAGTGAAAGATGCTTTGGGCTCTGCCCCTTTACTTACCCCATCCAAAGACTGAATTGAGGCAATGAAAACTCTATTCCGATTCGAGACAGTTAATGCCAAATGAATTTGTCAAGTTGTGACAATTAGGAGTGGACAGATGAAATGGCTGGCGCAACCTCAAGGTTTGCGTGGCACACACACTACCCGTCTCTGTTCCGGTGGGGCGTGAAATGTGTTTTGGTCACTTTCACGCTAAATACGAACTAGCAAAAACAATGGCCTGCATTCTGTCCAAGACGACCTTCAGTTTTGCTTTCGGTTACGGGTTCCAGCTGTAAAGTGGAGGAGCACTCCTCCATCATAGTTGTGTTTTCGTTGGCCCTCTGTTCCTCATTACCGCGCTGTGCAAATAAACAGTCGGGGCACTGTAACGCCTTGGTTCCATTTGGGCTTACTTGGTGGGGCTCTCGCGGTTGGGTCACCTACGGCTGGTGTGAAAACGAAAGCGGGATGTTCGCCGAAGAACGACATCAGTGACTCAGCTGAATTGGAGTTATGTAAATCGAATGGAAAGCAAAGTGGGTCTAAGGTTTTTCTATCTAACAGCAAACCTTCGCTTAATGTGTAGCAAAGTCGCGTTGCTTGGGATACAAAAAGATATAATACTTAAAGACAATTACTTTTGGCAACATTGTTGTTTACTTCGCAGCCCAACTTGTTCAATTGGTAATTAAATTATAGGGAAGACTCCCAGAACTGAACACCTTAAAATATGAATTTGGATTGAGATTGATAAAGATATTCATTATTTACTTTAAAACATTTTTACAAAATAAACAATTTAAGAAGGCAAACACAGACTTACGGTTATCAACAAAAAATTACAATTTTATAGGCTAGAACGTTGCGAGACTTTGGCGGTTGCTTCTATTCTAAGGTCTGGCCCTAAGGTAGACATGTGGGCCGTTGGCGGAGGCATCATGACCTCCACTCAAACCCATCGAGGAGGCCGGCAAATACTCGTTGAGGTTTAGCGAAAAAGAGGGCGGAAAGTGTTTGTCCTTGGCCTCACGATTTATCCGGTAGCTGTTGCGGAAGGCGGCAGCTGGATTGATGGACCCAGCGGCATAGCCCTGGAGAGCTGCAAAATTAGGCGGCAGAGCACTCAAAACAGGGCCTGTCCGTCCGCCAAAGTCCGGTTGTCCGCCGGCGGAGATCGACGGAGATCCTGCGGCCGCAGCGGCCGAAAGGTACGGCGAGATGGGCACTATAATTGGCCGGGTGGGGATTAACTGAAGATACTGGACCGTGTTCCCTGATCCATCCTGGATTGTCTGGGCCGGGAGGTACTGCATGAGCATAGGAGTCGACGGTAGACCGGCCACACTTGGAGTTCCAGCAGTTTGCATGGGCGTGAAGTTAGTCTCCATTTCGGGCATCTTGTAGGAGGGCTTAAATGCAGGATCCGTGGGCGAAAGAACCTGGGTTTGAACCTGGTTCTGAACTTGGTTTTGGGCCACGTTGTAGCCGCTGGCATAGGCACTCAGAGAGTTGAGATGCGCCTCCTGTTGCTGCTGCTGCTGCTGCTGTGCCTGTTGCACGCTATTCGGTGATTTGCTATTACTCGCTATCTCCGGACTCGAAACCGGAGATCCCTCCAGGAAGGGCACCACGAGGATCTGCAGCAGGAACAGCTGGCAGTGTAAGTAACTGTGTCTGCGACACAACATCTGTTGAAAGTTTTAATTACAAGAAATATAATTATAAGAAATAGGAACATCACGAAGTTTCCTAATATCGAATTTGATATAATTTATTTCACTTTGCCAATCCAATGATTTCTGCATTTCATAAACACAAAACAAAAAGAATATATGTTTCACCTTGTATAATTTTCGCTTTTGATTTCAACTTAAAGTTTAGTTGGGAGCGTGGAAAACTCTTGCACTTTTCCTGGCAAGCGACGCGCTTTGATTAACACGGCTGCGTCGCTGGCTTGGCTTTTATATCTCTGTTCGGCCAATTTCCCGCTATTGGCAACTAGCTGGGGCTGCAGTTTTAGCCACTGCAAAACACGCCAGCATCGAAAAACCACATCAACAGCATTTGGCTGGCACTTCATTGGAAGCATTTCAGCGGCATTGTTGCGTGTGTCAGGCTCCAAAATGTTGCATGTTGCTGCTGGCTAGTCGCTACTTGCTAGTTGCTAGTTGCCGCCGTGCCCATCGCTTTTGGCCACGCTTCAAGTTCAAGTTTACAGCCGTCACATCATATATTTGGTTTCGTTATCGTTTTCGTTTTCGATCGACTTGGCTCGCCTTATGTTGATCCGCTGGGTTCCGTTTTCCGAATCGGTTGTTTGGGGGCGTGTCGCATTTGGATCTCGGATCGGAGGCAGCGTTCCATCCTCTTCCGCATTACGCCGCAATGGCTTAACTGGTTTTCACATCTTTTCGAAGAGGGAAGTCGGCGTTTTTCCAGTCGCCAGCCGAAAGTAGTCGGTGGCTGTTGGCTTGCAGTTGGTTTTACTGGATCAGATAAAGGATTATATCCACCTTGCGAGTTTAGGAAAACAAAACAAAATGTTTGCTATTCTTTGTTGTAGCACTAAAAATTTAATTTGTATTTAATCCTAGTCTCGTATGATATTAATATATTGATATTTTGTTCCAGGAGAAGGACAGTCCAGTTAAGAGATGAAGTTCTGGGCGATTGTGGAGGAGCAGGAGTGTATAGTATTAGTATAGAACCAGTCGTCCCTTGAATATGTTATTGATATATTTTTCTTCTATTTCCGTTCAGGAGACGAAGCTCTGGGCGCTTTCCTGCGCTTGTGCCGGCATTGGAGTGCCCGGCCCAAAGAGCATCGAGTTGCAGTGGCGATGAAAGGAGCGCCGCCAGTCCAGCAGGCGACAATGAAGCTTCGTCGGCAACGCGGTGGCCCAGAGTGTGAGCCAGAGGAGGCATGCCCCGATCAGGCCAGTGGTCAGGCCCACAGTCCAGTACTCGTAGGCCAGGAAAGTTTGCTCCTCGACGGCCAATGCCTGGAGGACGCCCACAGTGGCACACTGGCAGAGGGACTCAATTCGATGCCATAATTTGGTCAGAGTTACATCGAGCACCAAACAGCAGATGCCCGTTTCCAGGAAGAGCGCTGCCCAGGACGGCTGGATGGCCCGATTATTAATATTCCTACCTCTAAACCGCTGATCGGCGGGCACAGTGCTGGGAAAGATCCTTACCGCCTGGAGCAAGGCAACAATGCAGGCCGAGAAGAGCCAGGCGCCCAAGGCAGGAGCAGCAGATTCGGGTGATCCGCGGAAGTAGTAGTAATACGAAATGCCCAGCACCGAGTGGAGCACTACCGCCATGCTCAAAGCCGTAAGACGAGCCATCAGAAGAGTTTCTTGGCCTGAATCTTTAAGAACCGCCAGGAAAGCCTTTTGAGCTCTGAACTGAAATTTTCCACTGAAGTTAATGCTACTTCAAGTCTAATACTGTTGATGTTTTTTCCAGGGAGCTATGGAATATGGAACAATATATTTGGAACACTGGAGTCAGATGGAATTTCCCCCCTGTGGAGTTGAGTCATGGACACCACGGCAATGGCAATTATCGGCACAAGTCAAACAGGATTGGATTTCAAGGTCTTGTTTTCCTCATTTCCAGCGGGCTCATTACGTGAGGCTAGTGGAAATGGTAAGTGCACTCAATAGTAGTCAGCTTACTTTCATTTTTCTTTGGCGAGAGCTTTGCTACTATGTATAAGCTTTGGCTCTTTAGAGATTAAACTTGATCATAGACAAGCTTGCACTGCAGCTTTTAAGTTACCATTCACCATTTGCACTTTCAAAGCCAAAAAGACTGTTAGTATATAAAATATCTTGCTCATCAGGAAACTATTTTACCTGCATTTAATTGAAGACACAGAAGCTTTTAACCAACCGCTTAAGTAGCAACTCAATCTTTGCAGTTTCCTTAGGATACCGCACCTCGAATAGACAATACTGAGCTGCAACTGCAAATGATCCCATAATCCTCGGATGCACTGGCTCCTCTCTGCTTTCTGTTCTCTGTTTTCTGCCGACATGACATCCCATTCCTGGGGTTTCTGCTCCGCTTGCTCTGTCAGCAAGTCATAAATTTTCGGCTCCGGCTGAACTTGATATATCAAAATGTTGGTCAAATTAAATTTCTTGCGCCTCGCCTTCTCCCGGCTTTTCCCGATTTTTCTCGAGTTTTCACTTGGAGCAGCTGCCAAGTAATTCGTCAAGCTGCTTTGTCCTCCTCCAGCGGCTGTGTTCCTTATCTCATCATCTGGATGAGCATTGTTGCTCCAACTCCTTTTTGCTGTTCAACTGTCTGTCTCCGCCACCTACTACCCCCAACTACCCCCAGTACGCCCGGTTTCCACCCCCTTTTGGCTGGCTTTCATGTCAACTGCATTTTTCTTTTGCTGTGTTGTATGCAGTGCGCTTTTTCACTGCTTTAAACCACTTAATGGGTTTTTTTATGCAGACCTGGCTTAGATGGAAAAGCGCATGGAGGAAGGTTGGAAAATGGAGAAATGGAGGGCAATAGGGAGGGTGGTGTCTAGGGGCTATTCATGCTGCAGCTTTCTTGTAGCTTCATTCACAAAGACTTGCAATTCATCAAATCTCGTTAGTCTCGGCTTTTATAGAAAATCTGCAGCTGCTTTTGCTTCTGCTGCTGCTGTTGCTTTTCTTTTCGAGCTTTCGGAGGCTGCTCCTCGCATTTAGCTGCCTCGCCCACGGACACTGAGTGGGCGCGGCAACAGCACCGATTCGGATCCGCATCCCTATTTCCATTTCCAAACGCACACGGCTCCGGGTCCGGCTGCTCTTCTGCTATTATTGACAGGCAAAGTCTTTAAGGCAACTTTCCCTCCGCTCTTATGCGCTTAACTTTAAGGGCTTTCCCCACCTGAGCGGGGCACCCTCCTCCATCCTTTCCGTGCCGTGCCTTTTCTTTGAGCTAATGAAAACTATGTGTCTCCTGAAATGGAGTGGAATCCTTTCAGCTGCACTGGCCCTCCCAGTAAGCTTTTCACCCAAACGAAACTGAACCAAGGGGCTTTAATAAACGAACTGACCAATGCATTTTTAATGCCACTACCTCCCCACACACACACCCACATTCGCAGAGAGGTGGACGTGTGTTCTACATTTTCGGATGTCCCTTAAATGCCGCAAGCTCTGGGAAACAGCTGCAAGTGGCCATCGTCCTGCTCTCTTTTACAAAGGCAAGGGGCTTAAAAAGTCGATGGCCTGAAATAGCTAAATAACTAATAACTAATATTCCTACACTGTTGGTAGAACCTATTTTAGAAACTCCGTAGTCGCAAGACGAAAACTCTTGACCAACACTTTTTGGCCAACTGGACTACGTCGTTGTCAGTCAGTGTTGGACAGGTCTTATTATCGATGCCGAGAGCATTTGTTGGCAGAGCATTTGTGGAGCTCTTTGGCTAAGTGCGAGGAGGCCAGCATTTCGCACATTGAAGCAGCTGCTCCTGGGCTTTCCCCCTCCGGAGTCGCCCTTCAGCCAGCTGGCTCCTTCATTTTCTGCCTTTTGGCAAAGTGCCCCATATCACGCACAGGCAAACATTGCAGGGATCCCAAATGCATTCAATTAACAATTTCCCCGGCTCCAGCCTGCTGGCAGCTGGAACTTCTAAACTGGGAGCAGGAGGTAGTGGTGGCTTTTAATCAAAAACTTCCATTTGCCAAGCGGCCAGGCCACGCAACTTTTTGGACCAAGTTTTGGGCGGAGCCAGAAGTGGAAAAGCTTCTTCAAATTGTGACGTCGGCAAAAGCCAAATCGTGCCGACTTGCAGCACACAGAAGGTCTTACTCGATCGCCAACAAGGGATTCCGTTTTGGTATCCAGAACGTCAAAATACCCTTTCAACTGGAGTATAAACGTTGTAAACCTTTGCAATTTCAGTGTTATTTTAGAGAGTATTTTCCTTCAGAAGTACCTTTAACTATTGTTCTAGCCAAACTCGTACTTATCGGATTATACCTATAGCCAAAAGATTGACTGTTTTGTGAAGCTAAGGACGGACCTAAGCAAACTTTCCTCATCATTGGTTTGACGATTTCAATTTTTAAGAAATTTCGCATTTTCGATAAGGGGTAACATAATCAAAATTTACGAAAAATGGCAAAAATTAGACATTTTAAGGTGGGGATGCAGTTTTGATGTAAATCAAAATACGATCTCAATGAGGTATTGCATTCCAAATTTGGAGGAATATTGGCTTAGTTATGGGCATAATAATACCAATGCTGGGGGAAATCGGCATAAAACAAATTTCGCATCTTAGTTTAGTCGTAACACCACCGTTTTTCCGAAACATGGCAAAAATTTGACTTTTTAAACCTTGAATGCAGATCTGCTAGGAATTAAAATACGATCCCAATGAGATATTACATTCCAAATTCGGACCATAAATGGTGTCTCAGTTATGGACACAATATTGTCATCTTTGGGAAAATGAGGAGAAATGCAATTTTTCATTATAGATAAGCAGTATCAGTACCAGCATGCAATTTTGCTAAAAATTACCAAAAATCTAGATTTTTAGTTGTGAATGCCGTTTTTATGGAAATTTAATAACGATTACAACGAGGTATGGCATTCCACAATTGGACAATTTTTGGCTTCGTTATGATCAAAATACTGAGGTTCCTGGGCAGAAAATCAGGATGGACGAAATAAAGATAAAATAAACACGCAGTTTACGTAATATAATTTCCATAGCGCATCTGTTATTTAACTCTAAATTAAGAGGAGAAAAAATATCCATTAAATTTAGAGGAAACAATTCCGACAATGTCACTCACAAAAAGCCAGAACTCGGAGAAAATGTAAAGCGTTGCAGAGAAAAGAGCGAAACCAAAGTCAAACACCGGCAGGCCAAAGGGAGCCCCACCCTCCGACCGTCCTGCCCCATTTTCTCCTCTGTTTACCTCTCCCATTTGAAAGGACTTCAACAGGACGAGGGGGAGGATGCCATTTAGCAAAAGTAATTAAGCGTCAATGCGTTTTATTTGTGTTACTTTTCTGGGCAATTACGGCGGAAAGTTTGCACTTCTGCCGTAGTGCAGCGTAAAATGTTCTTTGTTAATTGTAGACCCAATAGACTTCTGGAAAAGTTTCCACCGCCCGAGAATCGATCGCGGAATGGTGCGTGATACGGCAACAGGTGAAACAGGCTGAGTGTCCTGAACTCCTTTCCTCCGACTGCCATCAGCATTTCAATCTCCGTCATCATTATGTCTGTCATCACAAGCAATTTACCACCTAATGGGAATCCCTCTGGCTGGTCATTGTAATGAGCAAAAAAGTTTCTCATCAAAAAGTTGTTTCACAATTCTATTATCCTGCCGTTGCCGAGAAAGTTGTTGTCCGTAGATATTCTCGATCCCCTTCCGGGGTGAGAATGTCAATAAAGCAAACTTCGCACACTGAAGAAAATCTTTCGAAAGAGTTTGTCCTCTGACCAAAAGCATTTAAGCAGAATCCGTTTAAATGAGCTATATGTGATATCTCATTGGTTCATGAGGCAGTTTATTATCTATAGTGAGTCCAAGTATGGTTTCAGATAGCGATTCTTTCAACCAAATAAGTAAACTTGAGCATAAGCTAGTAAACATTGTTCCCATTGAACCCTACATATCGAGCATAGCTGGGTTTAACAGCCTATCACAAAAATCCAGAAAGGAACCCCGATTCAATTATACTCATTACGCGATCGGATTGGGGCAACTAAATTCGGTTAATTGATGAAGCCATAGTCGCAGGTGAAGATAACTAGGCATGAAGGCGGTTATCGTCGCAGCCACTCTCATTTTGATTAGATTGCGTTGCCGGGTGCCGGCAACCTGTCCTCAGTGCTCAGTACGCAGTCGAGCATAATGTCCACAAGAGGTCGTTTCGTTCGGTTTATAATTCTACTTACGGCGGCCCTCTTCGCGATCCTTCTCCTCTTGAGTGCTCTGCAGCAAACGGATGAGCTGAGACCCAGTACTTTGGGTCGTAATGGAGGAGAAACAGGTGTAGGAAAGGTAACTCCACCGCCGACTCACCACCTGGAGGAGCCCATGAAAGAGGAGCTGGTGCGACAATTGGAGCAGGAACTGCCCGAGGTAGACTACGGCTTCTGGTACCATTGGGCAAAGCCCATGAGCTACAAGATAAACAGGACATGTGCCCCATATCCTGATCCTCTGGACCTGCAGTTGCACAACATCTACTGGCAGACCTTTGTGAACTCAAACGTGACCTTCCGCCTGTATGCCGCATATTATGACAGAAGAAAGGCGGTCAAACTGCCCACGGTAAGGGTTTTGGCCACTGCCAATCAGATCGGATACGAGTTTCCACCAACCCACTGCCAATTGTGGTTCGAGGACTATCGAGAGCCCATTGTGGTGCCTGTAGCGGAGTTCCTGAGCGTGTGGCTCAAAGAGTGGGGCAGAAAACCGAAACTAAACTATCCGCACTTGCTCAGTTGTCCGGTTCCTAGTGAATTGCCGCCGAATTTGTCCCAGGCCTTGCCCAGAACAGTGTCATTAGTCTCAAGCCGTTGCGAGAAAGCCAGCAACTCCCTGAGGGTCAACGTGAACCAAAAGCAGCCAGCGGTAGCTCTGCCATCTCAGAATACCAACTTCACCAACGGCCAAAATGTGTCTGAGGCACCATTAAGCTTTGGGGTTTGCCTCAAGGGCTTCGACTTTCCCTATATGGATCTATCGGATCGCCTGATCGAGTGGTTTGAGCTGCAGCGAATTCTTGGTGCCTCACAGATCTATGCCTATATGTACGATGTGCATCCGGCAGTTCAGAGGGTCTTGGACTATTATCAGCGCACTGGATATTTGGAGCTGAGACCTTTGACCTTGGCCAATGGGATGCCCAGGCTGAGGCACTACCAGCACATGCTGCTGCAGGAGAGGAAGCTGGAGAAGAGATTAAATGAGCTCATACCCTACAACGATTGCTTCTACAGGAATCTGTATCGTCACGATTACCTGGTGAATGTTGATGTCGATGAGGTGATAATGCCCAAGGGTCAGAATCGCAATTGGCATCAGTTGGTGCAGAAGACCCATGATTTGGAGACTGAAAAGGGTGGCACATGTGCTGGTCGCTTTCCCGCCCTGTGCTTCATAAACTCATACTTCACCAAAGTGGTTCCCGAGGTGAGCAACCACGAGGAGCAGGCCATCGCCGGGGAGTTGTTTTTGCTGCTGCACACGCAGAGGCTAACCAACTACTCTTCGCCAGGAAAAGCCACAAAGTGCTTCCACAATGCCCGTCTCTCCTTGACGTTGCACAACCACTTTACCCTCAAGTGGCTGCCCGGCGCCTGTAATCCCCGCACCATAGATACGTCGGTGGCTCAAATGCAGCACTACCGCGAACCCGATGTCAAATATAACCTCACCGATTTGACGGAGGATCGCAGTGCCTGGAAGTTTGCCAGCGAACTGCGTGCCGCTGTGGAATATGTGTGGCTCCATCTGGACGACATGCTGGCCCAAGTCAGCGATCTCGAGGAGCAGCAGCAGCTGGAGGAGTCACTCGACCAGGAAGGCGACGAGCTCGAGCGGGAGCAACAGCCTCTCCAGCCAATTGTTCCGGCTCCTCCGCAACCCGTATCCTAAGAAGAGGCTCAGTAAAGGTTTTAGTTTATAGTCTTGGTGCTTGAAGGTTTCTTGACGGTCAACTGCTCATCCGGTTCCTAGAATTGTGTCTATCTGATTCATTTTCCATTTCGGTTGGCCTTCATTAGGATTTCCTTGACAGAGTTTTAATTACTTTCGTAATCTTATGTTGCCCAGCTAGTTAGCAGGGGGGGACCCGATAAAGTAGCACCTCAGAATCGAAACCGCGATTGTACAATTAATATATGATTTTTTTTTGTATTTATTAAAATGAAGAATATACTCAGTATATTGAAAGGCGGTATTATAACTTTTGGAGCTGCAGGAAGCACGTCAATCTTACCGAAGAAGTTATAGTTAGTAGCTTCTCACCCAGTTCTGCCTATGCATTGATAAGCATGGAATTCGCAATGATTGATTGTTTCCCTACTGGGGGCCAAGTGGAAAGTACAACTAATCAAAATGTGTGAAGGGGAGAGGTAGGGCGAAGTTGTTTGTGTGTTTTTACAGTAGAAATCGACTCATTCGAATTCGTCATCGTCGGCTAGTTAAGTTGGAATTGGTCTAAAGAAACATCTGCGATCTGAGATTTGATTTAAGATTTAACGCATTACAAATATTCGGCGAATATTTTACCATTCCGATCAAGAATTCTATAGATTACAAAGCCAGTCGTATCTTTGTTTGGCACTTCTTCCGCTATATACTCAGGACGTTATAACCCATCGAATCGAAGCTTATCTGGAATTTGGGAATACCTGACGTACGAATTCGGCATATCCAGAGCGAAAGCAATTAAGGCACCGATGGCATTGCAGATACTACGAATATGATAGTGCCTCTTCCAAGTCATAGCCTGTGAAAAATATTCCACATATATATACAGTGGCCGTAGAATTGCCCAATTTCGCCAGGTAAACCCAGTCATTAATCATGATAAGCACGTTTGTTATGTTGCTGTTTTTACTATTGCTCTTCCAGCTTATCAGCTCGTATCAGAGCTGGATTTTCTCTTCTTTTCCGGTTTGAGTGGGGTTTCAGTACATTTTGAGTTCTGCATTTCTCACAAACCCACTGGACACTGGGCCAGATAGCATTTTACTTTGATTTCTTTTTTGGCGATTTGTTTTCCAAAATCGTGATCTTGATTTCGAAACCAAATTGTCTGTATTTAAACCACAAGATTGCCAAAAGTGGTTACCTCGTTGAGCTTGTAATTTGATTCATAATGAACTGGCATTCAAATCTCAAAAAGTATATTTTATAAAATTTTCAAAATTTATGATGTTACCCCTTATCAGAAATGCGAAACCCGATTTTACGTCCAAACTATCAGTAATATCTCCAAGAAATAGCCAAAAATGAGCTTGGTTTTCGATTCCTAACATAATTGCATTCAAATCTCGAAAAGTACAATTTTTGAATTTTTTTTTCAAAAATGGTGTCTGTCCTTATCAGAAATGCGGATCTTCATAAATCCCGAATTTACCCTTAAAATATTAGAAGTTTGCCTATAACAAAGCCAAAAAAAAAAACAATCATTTAATATTATGTCAGTTTTTAGCCTAGAACTCAACACAACGAGTCAATCTTTCCAGTGCGCAGCGCGTAGCTTTTAAAAAGTTAGCCCAAGAGTATGCCCCATTCCATGTGCTGAATGGAAAGCTCTCCTTAGTTCATATCTGCATACATTATAGAGGGGAACCTAATCTATCTCTAATATGAGCACTATTCATGATAGCCAATTTATATCTGATAAGGTAAAAATACACGAAAAGGTTCGTTCTTTCCATATCTTCCCAGATAGGAAAATATATATTAGGTGATATATGATCTACGAATTCTGATATGATTCTTGGGCCTTGACCAGTGGACATTCGATTCGGGTGTTGCGTTCATCGCAATCTCGTTTATTATAAGCAATTCCTTAGGAGACATTAAATTATATGGTACTGATACCCAGTACCCAGTCTACTCACAAAAAAAAAAAGTATTAATATACAGGCGTTCGTTATCGCAAAACCGAATTCAAAAGAGTTTTGCTTTTCAGGGACGCATCAAGAGAATTGTGGCGCCCAGCAGAGGGCCGGCCAAGGAGTAAGTGAGCCCAGGGGCTGTATTATTGGTAGAGGCGGCCAGCAGGACGGGCTTCTCGTTGGCACGGGCCTGTATCCAAGATTGGCAGTCGGTCTCGTTCTTCACAAAGCGGAAAACGGACTGAACAATGTTGGCGGGTGTGATCTCGGTACACTGTTCCAAATGGTGGATGACACAGGACTCGAAGCGCTGCAAATCCACGCAGTGGGTGGGCGAGAACAGGATCTCAGGGTTGCTCATCAGATCCGGAACTTGGCCATCCTTGGGGATATACTGATGGAAGGATTGGTTCAGGCAGTTGTTTATGGCCTCCTTGTTGGCCTCGAGGCATTCTGGTCCCTGTTCTGCGATGAAAAGCGCAATCTGATCGCCTCCACGCGAGCAGGCGAAACCCAGAAGAGCCGCTCCAATTCGTTGCACCGTCTCCTGGTGACGCTTCTCCTCAGCGGTTAAACAATGCTGGGCCTTTTCGTTGAAGTCCTTGACACACTGCTCCACCTGCGGGGCCTTTAGGCAGTACTTATGGAACACTGTGTCCAAGTCGCCATTCGGTCTCGCCACCTCCATTTCCTCCTGTAGAGCGGTCAGATTGGCCACACCACTGATGCAGGTTTTCATCTTGATCGCCGCCCGCTCGATCTCGTCATAAAAGGTCGCGTTGTCCGCTCCATTCACCTTTTTGCACTTTTCACGATACATCCGCTTAATGTCCTCTGAAAGAAGGGGGTTGAGAAAGACATGAAATATCTTCGTTATCGTTCTTGGTGACTAAGGTCTGAGTTATACACCTTTTTTGCTCGCTTTCGTACGTAATCAATTTTTTGGATTAAGTCACTCATTTGTTAGTCAGAACCTATCATATATTGTTCAATATTAGCTCTGATAGCAATGCTAAATAATAACCATAAATTTGCCACTTAAAAGGGACACTTTTAACAGCGGCAGCAGAACTAATAACCCGAGCTCACCATTTCATAAACTCTCTCTAAAAGGGTGTAAATATATCTAGGTAGCGGTTATGTCACTTCCAAAAACACTCACCCAGGCTCGTGTTGCGGTACTCGGGCGGTAAAAACTGGGCCGACAGTCCGCCCAGCTGGCTGGGATCCAGCTTTTGAGTGGAGGAAGCGGTGGCCGCCGGAGTGGCCCTAACCTCTAGGAGCAGGGCGCCTAGAGCGGCCAGAAGGCAGATGGCCAACATACCGTACTTGTTCATGGTGGCGTTGGATGGGGAAGTCGAGGTGGTCGCGGTGCAGTCCGATCCGTCTGTAGATTCGACTGTGGTTGAGTGGTGCCTGTGACTGAATGAAAGCGATTTCCCCCGGGCACGAAGCTTCAGGGCAACGCGAAGCCAAGCGGCGGTGACGCCACACAGTGGGTTGAAACTGATCGGGAAACAGCAAAAAACTTTTAAGATCGGGGTCACCTCATGTGTTGCTCAGCTAACCCAAACGTGATAACAGCAATCTTATCATGTATTTCGAGGTGATTACCAAAAATTATATATAATTCTTCGCGGCTTTATAGTTCGATCTTCTTATGCATAAAGTTGTATATTTATAGTCCTTAGGCTTATCTAAGTGTATAGTGTACCTATATGAGGCTGATCAGGTAACTTCTGTAAAGAAATTCCGCATCAGTCGTGAACTTCATGACATTTGTGAAGTTAACTTACTAGTTGCATATATTTAGTGGTCTTATGCCCACTGTGCGATTGCGTTTCGGCTTTGTTCAATCAAACGACAGTGACATCATTCACACTTCGGCCATTGTGGCCAAAGTACAAAGTTTTTCCCAGTTCTTACTCTTTTCCGGCAAGTACAAGCCGTAGATAAACGTCAATGATTAGTAAGCTAGGAGTTGGAAGATCCCTCCTCAGTACTCATTATCACTCCCTTAAAGGGAAGGAACCAGCATCAAAATCGTAGGCAAACCGCTGATTTATGGATTTGCTACAATTTTCGGCGTCGATACACGGCTGTTGATTATTTCTGTCCTCATAGGCATATCTTATCGATATTGGGCCAATATTTATGTACTCGTTATCGCAATTGCCAGCGGACCCGGTTTCCTTTAAATTTTAGCCGGTAAGCGTGCATTGTTTATCGAATTCTTCCGAAAGTTCCTAGTTTATTTGAACTTTAGATTAGATATTTACATAAGATACATTTTTAACTATAGCAATTTGTAACGGCATGGCTAAATCACCGCCTCCATAGGTTTTAATTTGTTTCGGTTTATTCGAAAAGAATTCACAGAACCATATATCCGACTGCCATTATCAGAGTATCAGCCAGTTGCAAAGCTAAACATGATTGCGTTTCCAGCTGAGTCGGCAATCTGCCACCGCACGGCAACAACAAACTGATTGAAAATTAAGAACAAAGAGTCGGTGGTCGGGGAACTTGGGATTACTTAGCAGCTCCCCGATCGATTGTTACGTGTCGGTTTCAGGTGACTCTTTGTTTACGTCTCTCTTTATTGTTTAGGCAATGGGTTTCCCAATAAATCCGCATTGAGTGCACTTTGCGATGTATCAAGTTTTATGTGGCAATCCACACTTTCGCTTGCCCAAGAATGAATGAATGTAGAGCAAGGCAGAGAACTAAATCTCTGTGCTGGAAGAGATTCTCCACATGATCTTGGACTCGGCCTGCGACTAGATTTGTTTTAATTACTCACTTGCTTCAATGTTGCTTGGGCAATCCGTCTTCGACTATCATAGAGCGCACATGAAACCGGTTCACATAACGATTTCTAGCGAGCAAAGTGGGCAAAGTTCAGCTAACCGGCAACGTAACATACCGATAAGCTCTTGGCGATGCAGATCATGACCGAAAAACTAGTACAACCGTGGATATATTTTTTGAGCTCAACTCGGACTTAGCGTGTTAATCTTATTAGGAACTATGTATCAGGAGAAGTTAGGGGTTCAAAATCACTACCTGTATGGATTTAGTCATCTTTATAGATAATAAAATGCGGAATTGATAAGACGCCTCAGTTAATGGTTAACTGAACATACCTTAAAGTATGCTAAGATTCCAAATGACAGAAGTACTGTATACTTTTAAGAACTCAAATGGAAAAACTGCCATCAAGTGGGCAGTGAATAAAAGCGAATGGATCTGTAGCTGCAGTACCCGCTTTGCCCAGCTGCCTAGACGTTGTCAAGGACTGGCTGGCTGTTTATCTTGCTGACTGCTTTATGAGCTTAGCCCGCGTGCTTTACTACCCAATTAAGCCAGGATATATATTTAGCAAACTAATGAATTATAAACATACACACACACAGCCTGTTCACAGACGAGGAATATCCTGTAAGCCCAAAAAAAAAAAAAGAGAAATGGTGAAGGAACAAAGCATCTGTCCTTCTGATGACCTGGCCTCTTAAGCAGCTTATATTCATACGATTTCCTCGAAAAGGGTTTTAATCCAAACTGTGTATCAGCGTAGAGCAGTTAATATAGACAATTTTCATCAGAAAATGTAACCTACAAATAATGAGAGGCGCATAGAAAGGCTTTGATTTGTTAGCTTTTCCACAAGGTTTTGCTGAGAGGTTCTGGAAAATCTATGCAGCATAAATTCACTAGCAACGCACAGCTTTCCCTGCTGCCAACGAGTTGAATATTTCAGATTCCATAGAGAACTAGTTAGCTATCCTCATCGTTAGCCGCTGCCACATTCTCGCCTCCTGTTCCGGAATCAAACACGTCAGGTCGTAGTCTGCTTACAGCGCTGTATCCTTTTAAATGAAATTAAGCTAATTTGGGAAACAGGCAGCAGGCAGCGCTTCGTCCTCGTCCTGACCATGGATATGCTGAAAGCGGCAACGGAACTCATTTTCGCCGTGGAGTTTAATTCAATGCAGGGGAGGCCAAGACACACACAGGCAGAGTCACGGGCACGGGCACGGGCACAGCCACTGGCACAAGCTCATGCATATGCATCTCCTCCTGCGTGCTAAATCAAAGTTGTCTGTGTTAGCCTTTGCAACACATGCTACACGTCTGTGATTCCCCCGACTTTTGGGTAGTGTGCCACCTGCCCGCCGTCCGTCCGTCCGTCCGTTTGGCCCGGTATTGTAATTTATTATCCTGCATGGCAAAAAGGATTTTCATCAATTAATCATGCTGATGATGCTGCTGCTGCAGCCAGACAACACTAACGCACTGATTCCACTGTCCGTTGGCAGTTGTCCGTGGTCTGTTGTCCGTTGTCCGCAGTCCGTTATCCAGTTCTAAGCGGCAATTCCTTTCCTTTAAACAAAAGCTTGAGGCCTGAGTTATGGATCACAAACTTGATAAATTAGTGCGAAATAAGTGGGTTAGGGTCAGGTTGGAAGTCTGCCGATCCTCACCTTTTGCCAATGCAAAAGGAAACCTCCTTTCAAGGACTGCACTTGAGGCATACACAAGTAGATGGAATAATCAATGTAAATAACAGGGTCTGGCAAGGGAAAACTAATATAATATATTGAGTTTGAGGTTAATATATCCTTTTAGTTAGTAGTAATGGCCATTCCCCTACTATTTTTCACTCCATTTTAAGACCTTTAAGCAGCTGGCCCACTCCGCAGGTGGCCTTGGCCTTACTGACTCGCTAGCTAAGTCCTTTGGACTCGGACTCCCGTGTGTCCTGGCTTCTCGGTTCGAATGTGCCATCCTGTCTGGGGCTCCGTGATTTATGGAGTGCGAGGCTAGTCGGGCTGCCCTGCCAGTCAACGCACTCCGTTTGTGCGGGCATTTTAATTCGATGTCCGAGTAATTCAGCTTAAAGTGCATGAATGGTCTTTTCATGGACGATTTCATCAATTATTCAAAGCCGGACTGCCGGGCTGCCGGACTGCCTGCCCTGCTAAGTGAAAGTAAATTATTGCCGGGCGGACAATAAAAACAGCATCAGCAAAGCCGAGTCCTAGGCAATTTTTCGAATAGTTTATTATGCAAAATTTAATTTTAATAAACAAATACGGCAAATGAAGGTGCAGCTGGTACAGTCAGGTCGGACTGGCCAACTGTACGAGCCTTGCGATGAAATATTCGTTTGGCAAGGCCTTTCAGTCCAAATGATTGATTGATTGACTGATGTACGTACTGTGAGCTCTCGGATGTGGGTGATGGACGAAAGCCAGCAGAATTATTTCTGCCTTGGCCCTGTTAAATTTCCTTGTTATTTGCGTTTATGGTTTTCAATTAGTGCAGTTAGATCGAGCTGTGCCCTGGTTTTCTCAGAGCCTAATGCCTTTCCATTCCGTTTCACAAGGATTTAGGCAACTCAATGTAGCCATCCTTAGTAATGGAGATTTGTGTAAAGTAGTGCAAGTCACAAGGGAGTTCTTGCTCGGACTTCGAAATACTTCAAGCATTTGTTGCATGTGGGACAGATACTTATTAATTGTGGGAGAACAGAAACAGATTAGCTAAATTCATCTTTAGGTCTTTGTACAGAGCCTTCGACTTCTGGTAAGAATGCGGAAATTAAGGATGTTTAATATACAGGAATCACTACTGAAGCTTACCTCTCGGTAGCTTTCCCACCGTAAAATAATTCAGCTCATTAGTGGGGCGCCCTCATCACCCTTCCAGCCAACTCCTCCAACCCGCTGAGTGGCTTGTTGTCAGTCAGCCACAGTACTCCTGAAGCTAGGGGGGATACCAGTTCGGGCGGGGCTAATTCGGGCCATAAATTTGCTGCCGTTGCTGGTTGTTGGTTGTTGGTTGCTAGTTACTGGTTACTGGTTGCATGTTGCTGCGGCTGCTGCTCCCAGGCCAACTAAGATTCGCCTCCGCCTCGCTGATATAATGTGGCACCTGCTGCTTAATGTTTTGGTTAAAAGCATTCTAAGTGAAATGCAACAGGGCGGAGACACGAACGCGGAGTTGTAGCAGCAGACTGCCCGCAAGCCGTAGACAAAAGGAGCTTCAGAAGGTCTGAGCGTGCTGTGCGGCAAATCGGAGGCGTGCCCATGCCGTGCCCGTGCCCGTGCCCGTTCCCGTGCCGGTGCCCTGTTCACGCTGCCAATTTGCTTAAGCGAAAAGTTGCAACATATGAGCCTAGAAACACGACTTCTAGCAATGGCAGTGGGCCGCTTGGGCGAAATATTATGAATAAGAACTGGACGAAATGAGAATAACATGTTATATAAATATTGTAACGAAGATACAAAATATTTTTGAAAAGAGAACAAACAGAAGGAGGATTGGAAACCTAAAAACTTCCTTTAATTTCAGAATAGAATCACCTTAAAGTTGCAGAGTTTGTTAGACTATTTCAAGCCGTAGCGGTGGTGGAGCTAGTAAAACTGTAATCCGTGGCTTTGCCATTTTTTGACACTGTTCAGGAGTCTGGCAAAGAAGTTGCTGCTGCTGCTTTTACCTGCGGCTGTTGTGGCAACATCATCATCATTCATTTGCGCCCAGGTGCACTCAGTGCACTCAGTGCTTCCCCGCTTAGTTGTACTCGTTTTTGGGGTTGCGTTTGGGCTTGGGTTTTCATTCCCGGTGTCTGTTGCACACCTCGCGGCAACTTTCTGTGGATCCTTGGCTCGCAACGATTTCACACGTGAGTCTCGCCCCCTCCTTGTTTGTTATTCTTAGAACTTGCGCCTGATTCCGCTCGGATGGCTTTATGTGTCTGCTTGTGTTTCAGTTGCTGTCTGAGTTTCACTTTTCGTTTTCCGTTTCTGTCCCCTGTTGGCCATAAAAATCAAGGGATGTGAGAACAGTTGATACACATTTATAAATATTGAGACAAAACATCCGATTTCTCTATGAATTTAAGTTCTGAGATGGATACATTTACCTAAGTTAGCTTGGTTCAGTTATTTTCTTCCCAAAACCACCTTCAAAGTGTACGTATCCCAGTTCCATTTACAAGTTCCCACCGATAAGGTCACCGCTCCAAGAAAACGCATGAAGAAAGCAGCTTAATTAAATATTTTAACAAAAGTTCAGAACAGACGTCGAAGTCGCTGCGCAGTCTGCTGGCTTTTTGTTGAAGTACATTTAATTCCGGCCCTGCGCTGGGCCGAGAATTGATAACTAGAACCTGGGGGCGATTTCCGGATCAGTCGGAGTAGAAATGTCGTCGAGCTACACGCGCCTGTTCCGCGTCTTATTCGTTATCATCTTCCTGAAGTTGCTTTTCCTTGTGGGCCTGTATTTGCACAGCTTCGATGGTGTCTCACGATTTAGGCGTGTTTCCCAAGTAGATATATTTGACGAACTGCTGGTAGATCGAAGGGAAAGTAAGATATATCCTAGTCTAGAGTCAAACTCTCTGTGGGTCTAACGAATTTCTATATTAGTGCCCTCATTGGAGAAGCGCTTGGAATGGATTCGTGAGGAGATGCCCTTGTTTCCGCTAGCAGAGCTCGTGGCTAGGGAAAAACGGAATTTTCCAACGGCAGGCTGTGGAGCAGCGCCCGATCTGATGAACATTGATTTCCACAACACCTACTGGCAGAGGGCCATTAATTTGAACCTGACCTACTATCTGTTCGGAGCCTACTACGATGAAAGGGAGACGGTGCCAGAGGCGCCACTGGTTCGCCTTCTAGCCATGGTAAATCAGCACAAGGACGATTCTTACAAGTACCCCGATATCTTCTGCCAATTTTGGTTTGAGGGCAGGGCTAAGCCAGTGACAGTTCCCGTTTCGGAGCATAGGGTGATGTGGCCCTTTGGCCATGCGCCGCGGCGCTATTATCCAACGTTCTTAAGCTGCCCTCTGCCGGAGGGAAAGCATCAATGGGTGGTGCCCCAGATGGTTTCCCTAGTGGCTAATAAATGTGATAGGGCAAGGAATCTCTTGAGAGTGGTTTATGAAGTCGACGAGCAGCCAACGAAGGTATCGAAAAACCCAGGAAAGCCCACGGCAAACACCACATCAACAGATCCAAAGTTCGTGGTATGCGTAAAGGCCATGGATTTCCCATATGAAGATAAGTCCTGGCGCTTAATCGAGTGGCTGGAACTGTTGCGCTTGCTGGGAGCCAACAAAGTGGTACTCTATGACGCCCAAATGCATCCGAATATGACCCGGGTGGTCAAGGACTATCTGGTCACGAGCCCTGGCTTCGTAGAGCTGCGCCCAATGTCGTTGGGTAGAGGAGAACCGCATGTCCCACCTCATTTCCATCACTATGCCATGATGTCTGATGGCTTTAATCGGATCTTGAACGAGATGATACCGTACAACGATTGCTTCTACCGGAATATGTACAAGTTCGACTATGTGGGAGTGTTCGATATAGACGAAGTGATAATGCCCCTCGGAAACAAAACGACTTGGCCGGAGTTGGTGGAACTGGCCCGGGTTGTCCCAGACTACGAGAGCCGAACACCGGCGGACTGCACGGAGTGGGTGAGCTTCTGTTTCCGCAATGTCTACTATCCAAGGTATCCAGAGCGTCCGAAGGTCTACAAAAATCTGTCGAGCTCCTTTTATATGCTGCAACATGTGGAGCGGGTGAGGCAACACTGCAATCGTGGAGCGGCTGCCAAATGCCTGCACGACACGAGATACGCAGTTGGATTGCATAACCACTTTACCTTCTTCTACACCGAGAAAGCCGCCTGTGCTGCCAAGTCGGTGCCCATTGAGTTTGCCCAAATGCAGCATTACCGAGAACCCGACACCAAATCCCTGCTGATCGATCCCATTATAGATGCCAGTATCTGGAGGTTCCAGCCCCAGCTGCAGGCTAGGGTTGAGGAGCGCTACCGCAGATTGGGCTTCCTGCCCACTGATCAACAGTTGGCGGATACTTTGGAGAAGCGACGGGCCCAGGATGAGCAGCAACTGAAGGAGGCCATGGGTAGGGCCTAATCAATGATGATCCAGATGGGAGGAAGAGTATAATTTATTTGAAAGACTTCTGCAGAAAGAGTTTTAGTTAATATGTAGGCTTAGTGCGCTTTAGTCTGATCAATCCAATTGGCTGAGATCTCCTTTGCTTGAATATTGATTTCCTATCTTTTTTTTTTGTTTGGTTGTAAGTAGAAAATGCAGTGAGAAAACTGCTTAGGAACATAGAATAATACTTTAGAGAAATTCTCCATTGAAAAACATCGAAGTACCACAGCCATAGCTGTCCAAATTAAAAGGCAAATGCTAAATGTGAAACTTATTTGTATTCAATATTTGGTGCATTGATAAGCTGCTCTATCCACCTCATCGATCGCTCTGCAAGGTGACGCAGGTTTTCATAAACCAATTGCCCGCAGCTGGGCAAACAAGGTTCCAAAAATTAAGCTATCCCAACAAAAAGGAAATGAATTAAGCAAGCGCTGATACATATCCACATTTACGTATATTTACCTATGCCATTTAAATTATTTAAAATAATAAAGAATGGAAAAGTGGCTGTTTGCTTACTGGCCTTTATGGCAGTGTCTCTTAACGTCATAGTTCTCTGGGTGCTACCTCATTCCAGGCCTCTGTTGTGCTTACATTGCTTGTAGTTCTGGCCACTTTCTTCAGTTGGCCACCATCCGCTGTACTGACTGCTTTGGCTGGTTACCCTCTTTGGCCTGCAATGTATTGCTTGTTTTCTGTTTCTTTTTTGGATTTCCTGCGCATGCAGCTGTTGAGGACTTTTTAAATATTTGCCATAATTTAGCATTTTAAATTGATAATCCCGCCTGCGTTTATGGTTCAATTTCAGTTTATGCATTTTCATAATGCTCTATGAATGCGAAATGACGTGTTTGCATTGCAGCTTGAAGTGAGCTTCAGAGCGATGCTCTCGCTGGCAAAATGCAAAAGTGCAAAAATGCAAAAATGCAAAAATGCAAAAATGCACATAAAATTTAATTTAATTTGCGCTCCGAAATTGCACACACTCATGCACCATTTATCCACTTCTAATTAATTGCATTTCACAAGAACACAAATCGCAAAACATTGAAATGCGAATGTGCAGACATGAACGCGACTACACAAATGTACAAACATAGCTACAGACATAGGCAAAAACGCACAAAGCACAGATAAATGGGGAAAAAAGCGACATAAGATGAAAATATTCATTATTATTTGCCCAAATGGCGATTTAATAATATGAATAAACAGGACAAAGTGTTGTTGCTATGCAAATTATGCGTGCGGACAACAACTGCTCTGCGATTTTTTAATTAAATGTTTTAATACTAATCTCTAGGCACTGGAAATGGAAATGGAACTGTATTCGGGTTCAAAGGCGAACGGAAAATGCCCGAAAAGCGATGGAAGCGATGGAGGACACAGCAGAAGCCAAACGGAAACGGAAACGCCAGGCGATGGCGCCACGTCACACAGCTGTCACCGAAAATGCAGTCGAATAATGGAATCAAGCAGCTCGCTGGCGTTCTGGTCCCCAGTGAAAAATTAAACTATACTTAACAGAGGGTTTCATAATTAAAAACCTTCTAAGGCAAGTATATTCTAAACCGCCGAGTAGAGCTAATTATTTATTTCTTTTTTAGAAAATAATTATAAAATCGTCATGGCTTCTAGTGCCTGTGGGTTCAGTGCCGGACCAAAGTCTTCATGCGATCTACAGCTTAGATGCCTGACCCAATCAAAGGTATGTTGTAGAGTATTTACTTTTATTCCGGGAACCCAAAACAGACTATAGGTGCTTCTTGTCCGAAGGGATAAATTGCAATCCCTTTAATCTTTCACGTCAAATACGCTTTTGCGTGGCATAGTGAGCGTCGATATATATATCAGTTTCTCAAGATGTTCCGATCAGAGAAGTAGTGTTACATTCAAATTTTGTACAACTTTTAAGATTTCTGTGAGTCATAAATTTTATTCGGCCAAGGCGATCTACGGATCTACGATCTACGGCGATCTGCAGTGCATTGAGTAAGTGGAGCACAAAACCTACGCCTTGATATGGGATATTAGTAATCATTGTCAGTTGTTTTTCGAAACCTCCTACTCCACTGGCTGCCAGTCGTGTCTGTTGACCAGCCTAAACTTCATTGACTACTGCCTATTTCGCGGAATCCCCGAAAGTATGCAATTGAGCGTTTCGGAGGAGGAAGTTTACCCAGCAATGTTGGGGAGCTGGGGAAACGGGAAGCCCCACTTCCTCCGATCCGCTCAATTCAACTAAATATAAGAATACAAAGGAACAAAGTCCAAACTAGCCAAACAAAACAAAACAAAACAGAACGGAACTAAACAAAACAAAACAAAACAACACAACCCAACGCAACAGGGAACTGTTCATGTTTTTTGTTAATTAAAATTGGCATAGCAGCCGAGAGGAAAGGAAAGAGCTGGGAACAACATTTTTGCATTTTCATCAGTTTTTCGGGGTAGCCAAATTTTCAACATTTCACCCAGCGACGAAAGCTCACAGCTCACAGGTCATAGGTCGTAGGCCATAGGTAGCAGGAAGGAGGAGGAATGGAAAGCCTTCAGCTTTCAACTTTAAACTGAACGAATGCCATTTCGCTGTGCGCATATTTACCTTTAGAATATATAATTTTTCAATAGACGTCAACACTCTGAGGGCGAGACCTCGATTTATGTGCTGCCAATAAATCTAGCCAACACTTTGACCCCGTCTAATACAATATTTACTTTAAATTGCCTGATGGGACTCGGGAGCCAGGCGGAGTAAAAAATTGCATTGCGTTTTTCTTAGCCAAGAACTAAGAAGGGCGAGACTGCTTTTAGTGCACTAAAAGAAAATCAACAGTTCTTGATATATAACTGAAAAGATTTTTGGAAGCGTTGATGTTCAAGTTGCTCATAAGTACTCAAATATGTTTAATACAGAAGACCTTTCTATGAGGTTTTTCACTGTGTAGCTCTTTGTAATGGTTCAGTTTTCGATTTTCTTTCCCTTTTCCCTCCCCCTGGAATGTCGTTTAAGTTTAAAGAGCTTTGGAAAATGCAGAGGATGAGATCCGTAGTGGCCTTTTAGCAAGGCAAATCTGGTCCAATGTACTTGTTCTTTGTCCTTATCCCTATCATTTGCTAAGTGTTTAGTTTGTAACTAGAAACAGTGACTGAGGCGATACATTTGTTGGCCAAATACTTGGCCGTAACTTAACATCTTACAATAATTATTCACTAGCTGAAAATGTAAGTGCAATACTCACTTAAACTGCCAACTTTTGAGTTGCGGAATGTCCCTCGTCGCTTGTGATTTGCCCTTTGCCCTTTATTAGCACCCGGGTTGTGCTTCCGGCTATTCGAAGCTCAATAAGTTTCCAAGGAGAATCACAACGTGGATCCGCTTCGCTCTTTCCACGTGCTGGCTAATAAGAAATGCGTGGTGTGTTGCCACTCATCCTTTTCAGGGGTGTTGCAGCCACTCGAATCTTTCTGTCCGAGGGTGTGTAAATATTGGTTTCCAAAGTTGGCAACTTCTGCACACAGTCCTGCCTTTGGTCAGTCGATTTCGCTCGTTTTGCTTTTTATTTTTTGGCCCTTTAGCGAGAGTTTCCAGCGCGCATTCAAAGGAGCTATGTACGTATGTTTACCTTCTTGCGGAGGAAGATAAATTTGCGTGATTGTCTCATTAGTTGCAAGTACGAGAATGCTTCTTTATCAATGTTTTCATAAAGGAAACGTTTCTAAGTTAGCCATGATTACGGGGCTTCCTTAAATAAGTCGGTGCTGAGTCTGCTGTCAGTTTGAGTTGTGCGATCTGTTGTTCAAGGTTTCACGTTGCCAGGCACACAACACGGCCCCAGAGCAGGTTTTCGAAAATAAGCATTAGTGTAGAGTAGAAGTAAGTACCTTAAACGATAACCAAACGACTCGCCATCTAACTGTCTCCGTGTCCTGACCCTCAGACAAACCGCCATGTTTCCAAACAATTTTTACAAGATGAAGAACTTTGCCAATCCGAAAACAATGTTCAAGAGCAATGCCAACAACGATGATATGCCCCCACAGGCCACCCAGACCGTAGCAGCTCCCACTGAGGTTACCAATGCGGCTGCAGTTACTCAGCCGGCAGCTCAGCCCATGAAGCCTCAGAACTCGAAGAACGCCCCAAAGAAGACCCCACCTGTAGAGCCCCCGAAGCAAGGGAAGAATAAGAACAAGAAGGCTAAGAAGACTCAGAAGGATAAACCTCGTTCTTCTAGTCAGGCGAGCAGCAAGAATGTAAGTCAGAAGGGGTCCAAGGAGGAAGTAGCTGAGACTGAAAAGTCCAAGGGAAGTGAGGTGCTGCAAAAAGGAAAGGGTCAAGAAAATGAAAAGGTCCAGGAGAAAGTTAAGGAAAAGGTTCAGGAGAAAGAAAAAAATACAGACCAAAAGACAGTACAGGAGGTGCTCAAGAAGGTTTCAGATATAACTATTCAGGAGGAGATGTTGCCCGAGAAGATGACGGAGATTAATCCGGAGGAGGTGCCGGATAAGATGACTTTAGAACAAAAATTGCTAGAGAAGATTGAGAAAAAGCTTAAAGAGCAGCAGGCTCTCGATGAGATGTTAGAGCCGAATCTTTACCAAACCACATACGATGCAGTCGAACCCATTTATGTCGAAGACGAAGTTAAGCCGGAGGAGTCCAATTCAGTAGAGACTGCGCCAGCAAGTGAAGTCAGTGAGGAGGATGAGGGACCGCAACACCCCCTCAACAGCCGCTGGACTCTTTGGTATCTGGAGAACGATCGCACCAAGAGCTGGGAGGAAATGCTGCATGAGGTCACCACCTTTGATACTGTGGAGAACTTCTGGAGCCTGATGACTCACATCAAGCCACCTTCGGAACTGAAAATAGGCAGCGACTACTGCCTCTTTAAGAAGGGCATTCGACCGATGTGGGAGGATCAGGCCAATGTCCGCGGAGGACGATGGGTCATCAGCTTGACCAAGAACACCAAGACGGAACTGGACACCTTTTGGATGGACTCAATGCTCTGTCTGATCGGTGAGGACGGCGACTTCGCAGAGGAACTGTGCGGCGCGGTAGTTAATATCCGTGGGAAGTCCAACAAGATCTCCATTTGGACCGCGGACGGGGCAAAGGAGGGAGCTGTCTTGGAAATCGGACGCAAATTGCGCGAGGGTCTGCATATGGATAGTACTTATGTTCTGCAGTATCAGCTGCACAAGGACACCATGGTTAAGCAGGGATCCACCGCCAAGTCAATATATATCCTATAACAGCTCATCGACCATAAACACCAAACTGATCGGCGCAGGCCTCGGACACCTGCCCCTTTTAGTTATTTTCGGTATTTTTTCACAACTAGAAACCATTAGATGATGACCAACAATTCGACTATTCCCCATCCACTATGAATCGTTCTAACGTCGATCGGATGCCAAATCCCCAGTGAAGTCTTCCTTGAACATGTTCTACATGTAAATTTTAACGTTGCTCTTGCGAAGCGAACAAATATATATAATATAACCCGTGTTAAGACATAGAAATGGTGTTATATCATTTAGGCTTTTGATAAATATCGAGGTGAATCTGATTGCGATATTGATCTTAGAAAAGTTAATGCTAATTAACTAGATTAACTATATTAGCTAGGGCTAAGATAGTCGAGAGTACTCTAGAATGTACTGTTTCATCCTTAATCATGAGCTATTAATCTTTATAGCATGACTTCACCCATTTCCATTTAAAAATCGAAGGACATGTACCAAGGTCTTGATTTTCTTTGCTTTGTTGGCTTCTCCTCGTTGCACACGTCGTTGTTTTTGGTCAACATCTCGGAAACTTTCCTCCCATATAAAAAAAAGTAGATAATATCTTAAAAGATTGAACAGATTTTAATTTTGGAAACAATTCAAGGCAACAACATCATCATCCAGGATTTATCGTCCCTCTAAAACTAATTATGGTAATGTCCAGAGTGCATCGGAACGCTTAGGAATTTGGTGGCTGATTCTTTTTTGGCCAAGTCGGTCATGGGGCACTTGGACGTTGGAATTACTTGGCTCACGACGTCACAAAACTTGGCCGCGCTCGAATGTTTGATTTATTGACATTTATTGGCAGTTGGCATTTTATTGTTACCGCTTTGGGGTGGTCAAATAAGGTGAGCCGAATAATGGTGAAGGCCAGTGAATTCCCATGGCAGTGAAGTCCTTGCCTGCTGTTCTTGGCCATATTACTTACGTTCGATTGGATTTTATGTTCTTAATGTATTTCTGCGCCATGTTATTCCTATTTATACCCTTTGTTTGTAGAGAGTTTGTAACAGGACATATCGTATTCTCTGAAAAGTGAGTGCGGCTAAAAGATAGGTTTTCTGACTATATAACAAGAATATATTCTCGATTATAATCACTATTCGAGACCGTCTGCCAGAACTATCGTTTATATGATAGCCGCAGTACTGGATTTTGCGATTCTTTTTGTTTTTCTCTTCAAACATTTCCTTTAGCGTTTTCGAAAGCCTTTTTCCCTATGTGAAAATTCCATTAATACAAAGTTCTGGTGACTCCACATTAAAAGGTCAAGGCCCAGGTGGTTTTCCGTGTACTGGCCATAAATGCGGTGCTATTTTCGCAATTGATTTATGGCACTTAATTTCATTCCATTGTGCCAAGCGAGCAAATCCACTGATTAAACACTTTAACGATTTTTATGGCCGCAGCAGTTTCCTCATTAAGGGAAATTCCTGCAAAGCAGCTTCCCCCGGCAGTAAACCTGAAAATAAATGTCTGTCTGAAGGTATCATCATAAAGAAATCAGTTTTTTGGCTAGAACTGTGGGAAGAATGTCTGTCATATGAGAAATTCGGTAAATCCCGATTTTAGTCCCAAACTATCAGAATTATTCTCATAGCAAAGCCAATTATTGTCGGAATATGGAATGTTATACGTTGATCTCGTAATTAAAATTCCTATCAAACTGTGTTCGTTTAAAATGTCAAATTTTTATAATTTTTTTTAAATTTTGATGGTGTTACCTCTTATCGAAAATGCGAAATATTGCTAATCCCGATTTCCGCCCAAAAATGGTTGTATTATGGCCATAACTAAGCCAATATTCGTCCAAATTTGGATTGTAATACCTCCTTGAGCTCGTAATTTGATTTTCAACAAAACTGCATCCCCACCTTGAAAAGTAAAACTTTCGCCATTTTTCGTAAATTTGGATGATGTTACACCCCTATCGAAAATGCGAAATTTGTTAAAACTTGAAATTCACAAAATCGTCAAACCAAATATGCGAAATCCCGATTTTACTCCCAAAATATCAGTTTTTGCAGGGTCTTACTGTTAAAATAGGATTGCCAATAAAATTAATCGGAAAACCTTCAAAATGCAGAGTGCAAAAAGGGGTGGTAATCCCGGTCACAGGACTCTTTCTTGCTATAAATAAAGGAGATGGGTGCCTTGCCTATTCAGTTTGTAGTGTCGAAAAAGGAAAAATGGTGCCCAAAAAAGTCAGAAAAGCAAATTTACCTTCAAGCTGCCAACTACCCCGAAAAGGGCGGCCCCACAGGTGGCATTTGTGTTGTAAAGCTTCGATTTACATGCGTGCTGTATCCACAGGGGGATGTATGCTTAGAGGAGGTAAGGCGCTGACGAATTTCAATTTATTTATTCTTATTTAAGTATGCAAAATAGTCGGCTGTGGCTTGACTTTGGCTTGACACACCCTGGGAAAAGAAAGCCCAGAAGATTCGTAAGAGGTTTTCCAAGAGTCTCAACTTTCGCTCTTTAAGCTCTTAAAGTTGTTGGGTTATGAAGAACCAGTGAACGTGAAAAGTAAGCAAGAAGGCTTGCAAATTAGTGAAGTTTGATTTTTAAAGATATTGCCTTGAAAAACTTGTCAATAGACGGGAAAAGAAAGGCTCTCTTACATTGCAAAGAGCTGAAAGGGAAAAGCAACCATTTGATTGAGCAGCTCAAGACACAGAGGCCTCCTTGCTGGTAATCAGAGAACTATGTGTCCTCAGCACGTGTCCTGAGCAGAGCCTAACCAGCTGAAAAGAGGCACCTCGTTGCTACTGACATTAGCCAAGGGCAAAGAGGTGCCTTGCTTCTGACACTTGCCCCAATAAACAATCCATAAAGGCAACGGCCTCCCCTCGTCCTCCCAGCTTTTCCAGGACAAGACACAAAATTTATGTTCAGGATCCGAACGAGAGGCGAACATGTCATATGGAAATACTCGAACAAGTCCCCAGGCCAAGTACACAGACAGAAACGCAGGACTGGCAGATATATATTTTAAATAAGTTGTCGAAGGCCATTTGGCTGGCTTAGTTACGGCCAGGTCGAAAGCCGTCGTAATCATAATCATTTCATTTCCATACTTTGACTTCTTCCAAAATCACAACCTATTTTTTCTCCATGTACGGCGACTTCTCAGCCGCTTCGAATTTGTGCTAATTATACGGACATGGCTAATGCCGGAACACTGTGTGTGGGTCCTGTGTCGTGAATAAGACATGTTGCTGGTGTGATTACCTTTGGTCGGGCCGGGGTTCAATGGCCAAATGGCCAAATGGCCAATTGCACGATATGTCAATCAGTCGTTGGCCCCCGCTCATATGAACAGGAAATATGCCGAGCAAACAGAAGGAGGAAATGTGTGTGCCAAATTGTTGCAACAAATTTGAAGCTGCATTAATTAAATGCTGCCCGCACGAGGCACACGGGTGCCATTCGATATGTAAATGCGGTCCCCAATAATACGCTGCATGTTGGACTTGGCCGGAGATCAAGTAGCATCGTTAGTGTGGACCCGTCAATCCCAGCCAGCCGAAATACCAAATTTCTGACACTCTGTGTAATAAAACATACTGCAGGTTAATAACTTTTAGAAGCGAGGTTGATCTTCCTCACAAGTCCACGGCTCTGTAAAGGAATATCCACTGTTTTTGGTAATTTGGCCGCACATCTCTATTCCGACTGACCTGTGGAGCCCTCTGCTCGACCAGGACTCCATTAAGTTCAAATTGAATCGATTGTTTAGCTGTGATCAAGATAACTGGCAACTAAGCCGACAGACGAGTCCTAGAAGGCAGTCCTCAATTTCCTGCTTCTCCTGGGTTTTCCTGGTTTTTCTTCTTAATCTGACGCTGGGGCAAGTGCACTTGCACTTGGCTGGCAAATGTTGACATTTCTTCTTGGGGATTTGAGCTCGCTTTTGCGCTTGGATTTTGTTTTTATTATGATTATTTTAACTGCTAAGGCAAAGACAAACACACAGAGGGAAATGGGATGGGGGCAGCTCGCGAGGGGCGAAGGAGCATAAAATGCAATTTTGCAAAGGGCGAAAGAGGGAGGCCAAGGATGAAAATGGGTTTGGCGTCGAACTTTCGAGCCAAAGCCAGACAAAGTGAAATGCAATAAAACAAAGGCCAGCAAGGAAAGCTGGCAAGGCAAGAGAGTGGCAGGGCTGCAATTGTCTTGTCTTGTCTTTGCTGCTCGGATGCCTGCAGCTGTGACCCCTGAACCCACAGCCCCACCCACGGAGCGCGCCATACATTTACAGCGCAATGATTCAAATTGTCGCCTCGGATTATGGATTTATTACGCGTCTCGTTTTTCGTAAGCTGCCAGCGAGAAGCTGCAATTGTGCATGCTGTTTGCAATTACTATCAATGCTGCCTTCCCGTGCCAGCGCCACCGCCCCCGCCGCCGCTTCCCCTCAAGCAAAAATGTGCCAGTAATTCGCGTTGACAATTTTTCGGGTTAAGCTTTTGCAGCCAGCTATCTTGGAGATGTCTTTAAGCTACAACTTTGCCGAAACCCTGGATTCAGCATGGTGTATCTTTTGGTGCTTGGAATGTAATGTACTGGCTTATGTATCGTGGGTTTACCTTGGCATTTTCTATTAATTGCTTAAATTGTTTACCGAACTTTTAATGTTGTTTGAATAAGGAAAATCATTGTGCAATTTGTTGGTGTTTTTATGCCCTAAGATGCCAGAGATGTTCCATAAAAACATTATTGTCGCCCTTAACAAAAAAGCCAATCATCAAGGTATGCCAGTTTTATCACTTCCATGGCCACCAGAAACTCCTACTCCGCAGTGATATTTTCTAATTATCGCTTTTGCAGTCTCATCAAATCCATTTAGAAGTTACGGCAACTAAAAACAGAACCCTCATTAGTGGGTCAAGGTAAATGCCTGTGCTCAGTCACGATCTGCCCTGTGCGGCTATATCTGCTGATTGTTACACACAGATGAAAATATTAAAGATAAGTAAGGCCTACTCGGGCTGCAAAGTCTTCTTGACCCTTGACCCCTGACCCGCTGTGCAGACTCAGTTTCGGGTTCAGGTCCCTGGGTCTCGGGTCATGGCAATTCGGATTCAGATTTGGTGCGGTGCCACGGTGCCAGTCTAAGCTGGAAATCATTCAGCAACTCAGTAGGAAAATGCCCAAACGCGGCGAATGACAAAGTAGTTGAAAGCTTTTCGTGATTCTTATTATGTGTAATTTGT